AACTATTGGCACCATTTCCTCCCCTGTGAGACCGATTACTGTAGGGTAACAGGAAATATATCCTGCATTATTACAGAGTTACAGTAGTCGATCTGTAATCTTGATAAATAAATGATTACAGACAGTTACAGTAGTCGAAGTGTAATTTTATCCAATAGATGGATTACAGAGGGTTACAGACAGATAAAGATCGATTACAGAGGGTTACAGCAATCCTACATAGCCTCCCATCCCACACGAGGTCCATTACACAGGATTACAGTACAGTAGTCCAGACACCCCCCTTCCTTGATAACAAGACCAATTACAGGGAATTACAGTGGCTTAAGACACCCTCCCCTTCCAGGATTACAAGACCGAATTCAGAGAGTTACAGCGACCTGAATTCTCACCATTCTCAGGAAAACCAAGACCGGTACAGTGAATTACAGCAGCCAGAATCACCCAGTTAATACAGTATACAGTGGATTACATGATATTTTGTATTTTTCAACTGTGTGAGCTTACTGTACCAATATAAGGAATGAGACATTTACTGTAGTTGGCTTTTTCAACAGTAAGACCTGACCAACATACTACCACCACTACCACCACCACCACTAAAACCACAACCATCATTGCCACCACCACTGCCACCACCACTACCATCACCACTACAACCACAACCATCATTGCCACCATCACTACAACAACCAGAACTATCATTACCACCACTACAACCACAACCATCATTACCACCATAACTACAACCACCCCCACTACCACTATGGCCCGTGAGACAGACAGACGGAATAAGGTGGAGGATAAACCAGGATTAACCAACCTAAGGTGGTGGACTAGCACAAGGATTTAGTTACGAGGAAACCTCCCACCACTACCACTATCACCACCACCACTAGTACCTCTACCACCTTCAGTACCACCACCAACCTCTACCACTATCACCAGCACCACACCAGCATCGGGGATTAGCCAGGATTACCCCCACTCCCCCACCCCCACCCCGGTCTGGCAGGAAGGGTCACAGGTGGTAGAAGGGCAAATACAAGGCACAAGACTGACCCAACATCACCCACCTTGTTACCTGAGAGAGAGAGAGAGAGAGAGAGAGACAAAAATCAGGAATGAAAGAACAGAAGGCAAGGGAGGGAAGGAGATTATGGAAGACCCTGAGGAAGAAAGAGAAGGAGATATACAGTACCAAGAAAGAAAGAGAGAGGGAAGGAGGAAGAGGAGGGGAGATACAAAGGTAGAGAAAGAGAGAGAGGGGCAGAAAAAGGAAGAGAAGTACCAAGGAAGAGAGACGGAAGGAGGAAAAGGGAGAGATATACCAAAGAAGAAAGCAAGGAAGGAAGAAGAGGAGGAGAAGAGATACCAAGGAAGAAAGTAAGGAAGGAAGAGGGAGGGAGGGAGGTGAGCTTTACAACACGACCCACCAACCACCACCAAGGCGGGCGTAACCTGTGGCAAACTAAGAGTTATATACCATGAACATCCTGCACCCTCTATCCACCTACCCACCCTCTATCCACCTACCTACCTACCCACCCACCCACCTACCTACCATAAGCCTCTAGTCCTTTACCACACCACCAGGAAGGAGGAAGGGAAGTAGGAGGGAGGGAGGAAAGGAAGGGGGGGAGGAGGGGGTAGGAAGGGGAGGAAGGGAGGGAGGGAAGATGGGAGGGGGTATCAGAAAAGGGGTAGTGAAGGAGATAAAGAAGTAGGAGAAAGGAGAGGAAGGGAGGGAGGTAAGAGGGAAGGGGAGGGGTCATGGAGGGAGATAAGGAGGAAAGAGAAAGGAGAGGAAGGGAGGGAGAAAGTAGGGAAGGGGAGGGGGTAGGAGGGAGATAAGGAGGAAAGAGAGGGAAGGATGTAAGGGGATAAGAATATACAGTACCAGCAAAATCCCAGAGAAGAACACCCCCCCTCCCACTCACAGGGATTTCCATGAAATACACAAAAAAACAAGGATAATCCCACCAAATAGCATCCCACTGGAGAAAATCCCGGCAATAAAATAATAAAATGGGGCAAAATCCTGCCAGCTTAAGTCCTAAATTCCCATCAGATTACGTCCAGTACAGACATATTGTAGTACTGCACATATTCTAATACATCTTCGTATTGTTACTTCATCTTCTTTTTTAATATAAATCTCTTCAGTAAATTAATAAATCATCAGGCGCTAACTGAGTCCCATTGAGCGAGATAAAATTGAATTACTGAAATTAACTTTGTCGTGGAAGTCAGTTAAATTATCATGCCAGGCTGTGAGCTGGTGCTTCCTGTCATAAGAACATCAGTGGTGTCTCCTGTCATATAGTGTCAGTGGTACCAGCCTAAATACAACTGACTACTACACACATCTCCAAGACTGTCACACACACTTCACAAAAATCACCTCACTCTATGGCCCTCCTCTCCCCTACCAACTTCAAAACAATCTTCTATTCGCCCGATAACAATAACAAAAAGATATCGACATCACCCGGGAGCTCAGTATCAAAAGAGGAACCGTCAAAATCATCAAATCTGATTCTTGTTTACAAAAGGCTAAGGATATAAGCAACATATTTTCAAAACATTCCATAGAAACAGGACATCAGGTTTCACTAATAACATACACCTCTTAGCAAAACCACGTCGGCCATCACATAACTTGATACAAAACACACACACACACAGAAAACAAGAACGAACAGACAGACATAAAACAGACTGGTTAAGTGCAATAAAACAAGGCATAAATAATGAGAGATAGAGAGAGAGAGAGAGAGAGAGAGCAAGCGAGGTAGAGGGTGAGGGAGGGAGGTTCAGCCCCAGCTTAGGGAGATATCAATCTAATGAAGAGGGGGAAGGGGAGAGGAGAATAAAGATGATGAATGAGATGGAGAGGTGAGGCGTGGAATATATTTACAATGTGTGGGAACCAGTCATGGGGGAATGAATAATCAGTGATGATGAGGATGAATGACACATGAATAGTGATAAATTTGATGTAAAGCAATATTAAAAAATAATAATAAATAATAAAAACATTCCACAGTAAACAGAGAGACCAGATGATAAATGGAGAAGGACATATACCCAATAAATAAAACATGGGAGGGAATAAATGACAAGAGAAAACATAACTGACAATATATGAGAGGGAATAAAGGCAACAAATGCATTAATCTTACACTCTTGATTCATTTATGCCTGAAAATGACTGAAAAACAAGAGACAATCAGGTAAATAATCTTCAATCTTATATCACCTATAACTCTAACCCTAAAGCATGTGTAGAGATTAATGACCAATAAATTTCCTATGTTTTGGCTAAGACAGTCCAGACAACATGCAATCTATTGAGGGTATTGGAATATCAGATACTGTTCTTGGATGAGATAGACAGCTCCGGGGTATAGAGGGAGGGAGAGGTGGGGGGGGGTTACAGTACCTACTTCATCTTTCCTTCTCCTGCCTTACAATCATCATCCTATCCACTTCATCATCATCATCATCATCATCCTACCCAACTTCTTGTTCTTTTTTCCTCCTCCTCCTCCTCTCCTCTGTTTGGGGTGTGTTAAGAATGTCTTGACTGACTACTACACTACAGTCACACACACACACACACACACACAGAGGGGAGGTGAAAGAAAGGGAGAGAAAAAGGAGAGGATAGACAGCAGGGCAGGAAAGAGAGAGGTGGAGGTAGTGTGGAGGCAGGAAGGGGAGGGGGGGGGGAGAGATAGAGAACCAGGTTTAATTGGATTCCCCTCCACCGACCCTCTAATTGTTGCCCCACAATTGTTTCCAATCCGACTGGAAGATGGGGGGAGGTGTGGGGAAGGGGAAAGGATGTATGGGGAGGGGGAAAGGAGGTGTGGGAAAGGGGAGAGGAGGTGTGGGGAGAGGGAAGGAAGTGTGGGGGAGAGGTGGAGGGAGAGGAGAGGTTTTCTCTTCAACTCCCTTCCTCTCCCTCTTCCCTCTCTCTCTCCTCTCCATCATCCTTTTCTCTTTCCTCTTCCTCCTCATTTACTTCCCACTTCCTTCCTCTCCTCATTTACCACCCTCCTTCACCCTCTTACTCCAGGCCGCAAAATTTTGAGGATTTCTGATTCACATCTAATTGACGTCTTCAGTCATTTCCCGATGAATCACTCCACCAGCACGATGTGGGAGATTATCCGGTGTGGTTATCCAGACAGGAAATTAATTATCCAGGTGGGACAGTAGATATCCTGGGTGTTTATGAGGATGGAAATGTGGTTATCCAAATGGAAATGAGAATATCCAGAAAGAAATGTGGTTATCCAGAGAGATACAGTAAGTATATGCTTATCTGGATGAGAATTTAGTTATCCAGATATAATAGGACAGTGAGTATCCAGGTCAGACAACAGCTAAAGAAGAGAGGAATGACATCCAAAATTAAGTTACGTTAGGTTAGGTTTAGGTGAGGAAGGTCATTAGTCAGATCTATCCAAGGCCAATAGAGAAGTTAAAGACATTCAATAACAGCATTAGCTAACATCATTAATGCTCTATATACTTACCTGGTAGAAACATAATAGACAATACCAACAAAAATACTGTTCACTAATACATGTTTACCCACAATAAAAGCAAATGAATGTCATAACAATTCAATAAAAATTCTCATTCTTGCGTGTCAAAACTACAAAGTAATAACAATTTGCCATCATGTATTCAGCGTCATTAATTACCATAATCCTCACCTAATCAACCTTCGTGTCTGTCATCACAGTACCAACCACCGTTCATTTATCTTTTGATTAAACACAAATGTCTCTTTCCTGATATTCAACCTCCTCTCAACCTTATAGTAATAACCAACAGAAAGCTTGAACATTACCACAACAGTGTTCAACGGTGCAATTTAATACGGATTCATTTTAAGGACGTCACAAAAAACACAGATTTCGTCACATTGTACACGAGTCATTATGAACTTCCTGTCCGGTCATGTGAGACTGTATGCTCCTCACCTTGGATTGCCGCGAAGAGCTGCATGATGAAGGGAGTTGAAACCATTGTTGTTGGTCAGGGTGATGTCAGCTGCATGATCCAGTAAGAGAGTTAAAATATCGTCTCGCTTCTTTGAGACAGCATCATGAAGTGGTGTGTCACCCTCGTGGTCCTGTTAAATCACATAAAATCAATATCAGCTAATTTTCACGCTTAAATATTTTACGTAAACATATACAGGTAAAGGCAAATTACATCAAACAACTGAATCTCTTAATGCATCAGTGCAGTATCTTATATTCCAGCATCATATTTAATGTTGAGTAATAATAATATTCCAAATAACAGAACCAATCTCCCCCTTCATAAAGAAGCAAAGAACTTTTTGTACAAAATGGTGTAGAAAACTGGTCAGACATATTACATTAGGGTATCAATATCATGGAATATATACAAGATCAAGGGTAAGATCCATTAATAGTCTAAAAATTGGAAAAATATAACCATGATAAGTGTAAATTTTATTTAACCAACTGAGAACTGTAAGACTACCGAGATACACAAGTTTTTTCAGAGGCTAATGGAATCTTGCAGAGACCCACCGGTACTGTACCAGCATAAAACACAAGCTCACCTGGAGACTGGGGTGACCGCCAAGTTCAAGAAGTGTCTTAACAACACCAACGTGACCCTTGTTGACCGCAACGTGGAGAGGAGTCTGCCGCCGTTTACTGCGAGCATTCAAGTCTGCCCCAGCACTAGCCAGGATCTGGACAACACCCGGCTCATCACCGTAAGCTGCATGATGGATGGCACGGTCTCCGTCTTTATCCTGCAAGATTATGGGAGAAAATTAACTCGTTTGACATAAGCTTAATTCAATCTATAACCTGTCTCACACACACAATGTTCACTCTCCTCAAAGCATGCAACATTACCTGTCTCACACACACACACTACCACTTGTCTACCGTTATCACATACCTCTTTTTCAACGTGAGCGCTGTGCCGGAGTAAAATATGTATGACTTCCAAGTGCCCGTTCTGGCTGGCTGCCTGTAGTGCAGTGTGACCCGCAAAAACCCCATTCACATCTACTTCTCCTTTCTTCAAAATTTCATCAACCTAAAAACACAGATCACAAAGTTTCATCATTACTAAAATTCCCTTTGTTCAAACCCACCAGAATACAAAAAAATAATCATTTCAATTTACATCAAAGAAGTTGGTTCCCGCCGACATGTGACAAAAGAGGAACAGGTTTGCACGAGTGAAAGATAACATACGTAAACAAATGTTGATTAAGTACGAAATTAAAAACAAAATCCTTCCTAATACTGTACAGTACTGTACATCACCTTTTGTGCATCACCGGTAGCTGCTGCTTTGACTAGTTCCTCATTCAGATCCCCTGAGACGTGAGCTTCAAATATCTTCTTCAACAGGGCACTCAATCTCTCTGGTAAGGGAATAACAAACAGAAGAATTTACGGTTACTTCACTGGATCATTAAGCTTCAAAACCTATAACCATCTCCGATCATTATGACGTATGACACGCTTGTAAACACCACAGTCATGAAGAATACCCAAATCAGAGGTCAGTGGGTCACGTAATTTTCGATTTAGAGGTCACTGAAGCTGGACTTAAGAGAGGTCAAGTTCCATATTTTCAACAATAATTAATTAATTTCTATCTACTAACAAAACCAAGATACCTTTAGAAACATCCTCTCATCCCAGACTAACAATATAAAGAGGTAAGATTTATAGACAAAGTAATTAATCCCTAACCATTTGATGTCCTTGACCACTGCAGGAGACTTTACACCTTATACCCAGAGCACTGAATGCCCAGATCACTTTATGGTGGCAAGGGTTATCATGGAGAAGCTGTACTAATTGTTGTATTCATGCCAGTCACTTCCAACTCACAGCCTTGATGGGTATAAAACATCCCAGTCTCCCCGGCCTAATGCGAGACTTTAAAGTAAACTCAGTCCAGTGTAGATGATTAAAAGAAAACATTAAAACAATTCGTAAAAATATTCTTTCAACTCACCTCCACTTGCACCACTTGGAATAGCACCATCGGAGGCAACTTTAGTAACAGCTGCCGGGTTGTAGGTCCAGGAGGTCCCACAAACTTCCACTTTGAGGTCGTTGTCGTGGTAGATCTGTTGTACTCGCCCAATCTTCCCTAAAGTCTGTTCCGTAAAGACATGAGTGAGATGTACATTGGTATCATTAGCATACAATCCAATTTAATAGACACTGAGAAATGGATAATCAGGTGAGGAGGGAATAGTGAGCATAATGGTTAAATATTGAAGTGATGTAGAGGTTAAATGAGAAATGTAATATTAAGGGTGCCTTAAGAGGATGATTGGGTGAATGTCATAATTTTTCTACAGAAGGATTTGAAAATGAAAGTAAAACTACTCATATATAGAAAAGGTTCTTTTAAAGGTAGCTAAAGATTCCCTACTCTGCCCCCATATGCACATAAATGGAATCTCACATTACAGTATAAAACAAACATCAGTTATGGAAGACTTCAAATTCTAATAAGAAAATGACATTACAGTACAGGCAAACTAAGGAATATTAAACACACTCACAGGAACCATAGCCTCGGCCCATTCCCCGTGGCCGCGCTGAAGAATTTTAATGCGTTCCAAGTCGGCACATATTTGCACGAGGTCGCCAACGCTAAACTGCTGACTGGTACTGGTCTCATTGCTCTCCACAACACCACCACCAACTTTGGTCAGAACAGCTGGGTTGAACGTCCACCTTGAAATAATAGAAAAATAATTAACTGGTATTAAAACAAACATAACTAAACCAATATCAATAACCCTCGACAGTGATGGCGGCACAATTCTACCATCACAACAGTGTCCCTAAAATATAAAGGTTATCAGAAGGTACGTTTACCACCGATGGCTGAAAGGTGGTCGTGTCTCGGCACCACAGTAGCGATCACTGACTCGTGTATCACTGTTTACTGTTGGTCATCTTGGGTTTCCAGTCCAGCCAAACTTCACTATACTGTACAGCCATTAAGAGTAAGGAATATTTCACGATGTTTTCTTGCCACCTACACTGTTATTTATGATTTCCAGAATGATCAGAATCAATCATTCATTTATAACCAGACAAGGAGGCTCCCATATCTGTAGTTAGCAATAAAAGGGGAGGAGGCAAATGCATAATTACTACTCTGGGATCATTCAAAACCTGAATCTTAGGATGGGTTCAGTGCTCATGATTCAATCTTTGGTTACAAATAAATGTTATTGGCTGCAAAATTTAAAAGTGGAAGCCAAATGGTTAATATTATTTCTACATGGAAAGGCTTAAATGATGATTCATTTTGTAGGTCACAACAACAAGTGGTTTGTCCTAAATTCTCATCATGGCAATACACAATTACTGTACACTAATGCAAACACAGAAACACTCTTTAATTGCTGTCATCCCAACACCCTTACTGCTGTAACATTTCCCCAAAACAAGGTACCACACTTGCCTTTCCCCACTGCATCCCAGGTTCAATCCCCAAGTTGGATGTGAGATGTGTGTTATCCAGTGTGAGCCTAACAACCATGGCAGGTTTTCTCCGGGTACAGTACTACAGCTTCCACCGGTACTAACACAGACAGAGAAGGACTAACTCATCAGGAACAATGGAGGATTAAACAGGCCATCGGTTTCCTTTCCCCAACAAAGTGCTAAATTAAACTACGTACTGCAACAAGTTTAGTATAAATAATATAATGACAACATATGTTTAAGGATTATTACCAATCTAAGCATAAAAATAATGAAAAGTTTATACGTACCTGTTTCCTGAGGGATAAGCCACAACAATGTCGTGATCTTCGTCGATGCCGACCACGGTGCCAGTGGTGCCCAGACACTCAAACATGCCATCTGTCCACCCACCATGACCGTGTTGCAGGGACTGTACGATCTCCAGCTCCAGGTCAACGTTTACCTAAAGTTGAAACGTTTTACAAGAATTATTAAGTAACTTTTAAGTTTAGAGATACATCTCAGAGATGGTAGGCATAAAAAATGTTTGTAGTAACATGGCCAAAATCAAATAGCATTGGCACTAAGATACAAATATTATTTATATTTGGTGCAACGATCTTATCTCAAACTGTCCCTGAAGGTGACTTAAGGATACAAAATTATCTGACTCCCACAAGCTCTTTCAAGGCCAGCCATGTTCTCACAAACACAGTATTTTTTCTATGCCTATTACTAATATGGGAGTAATGGTAATGTGACTTCTACTGAAAACATCACAATCATTAGGTCTTAAGTGCACTACGTAACACAAAATAACATGGCTGTTTCACTTAGGTATAAACCATTACTATATTCACAATTTACACAAGAACAAATAGTATTTACTACAACTATTAAATTATGATATGTACAACTTACAAGCACGTGGAAACTTATTTAACAACTTGTGAAAACATAATCACATGTACAGTATATTAATGATCTGATGAATATGATTGCAGTATTGTATAACTTCTTTACTTCCTCTCTCATATCTTTGCAATGGTGGTTCTCTGCCCAATATAAATAAGCCCAATTAAATTATATTTCATCAAAGAATGTTTGTTGACTCATCAGTCGTGTCACTACAGAAGAGTGAGTGATTCCCTCACTGGTTTTTCCTGTCAGCTCTGAGTCATCTCTCATGCAGGCGGAGTGAACAAGTTTCCACCAGGGTTGCCGGCTGTTTGATAATTCTCATACAGAACAGTACAGTAATATTTCATTAATAACATCCCCTTCAGCACATTTGAATTAAACACAAATATTAACACATTAAATAAATGTATGTATAATCCAAACACACTAAAAATGACATTAAAATATTTCAATACTGTACAGTACTGTATTTTGTCCTGGATGTACATCAGCTTTACGGCTTTCCTGATCTGCGTATGTAATATTCAACTGCGAGTATCCACTCCAGCACATTCATATTAAACAACCAAGTAATGAACCCCGTTAATATTTTGTAATTTTTTTTTCACTCTTGCAAGACATCTCCCTCTAAGATATAGTACTAGGAGGCAGGATCAAGAGCAAATATAGATTCTCCCTTCAGTCACACTCACCGAATCCAGCGGCCATACAAGATGTGTCCTGCTGTGGTGTTGCCTTTTAACAAGAAGGCTCACAGCACCCATCTGGTTTATCTAAATTATATGTTTTTTCAAACCACCAACACATCAACAACTAATACTTAACCCTCTCATGGTCTTTCGATGCAGATTGTGTCGCTAAGCGCTCCCGTGCTTGAGCGACCCTTCCCACTCAACTGTATCTCACAGTGAGAGCACCCCTACAGTAAGCAGAAACATGGGAACAGTGAACTGGCCCTATCAACAACCTAAGTTCCTCCCACTAGCCTCATGGGGTGGCAGATGCATCTCAAAGAGTACAATATGGGTCTGGATCACTCTACCCAATGTTTACTAAAATGGAAACACCGTTCCTGTTACCGACACAACAAATTTCAAAATACCACGAGGGGTTGAGATTTCCGACTATGGCGAGGAGTACCAGAGCTAACTGCAAATAATACATAAGAACAAACTGGAAAAAACATCAATACAGTATACAGTAACCTAATTATTATTATTATGATTTATTATAATTAAACAACTGTTTTTCTAATGATGTATAAACTTACTCCTTTAATGTTTATCTTTTTACACGTAATGGTTAATTATGTCTCACCTTCACTCTGCACATCTCAATCATTTAAACACTACAGTAGCTCCATGATGCAATTTTATAGTTACAGGACTAGTGTGACTATGCAGGCTTCAGGCAGGGATGCAGGCAGGAATGCAGGCAGGCAGGCAGGCAGGTTTACAAGTAGAGGGTTGGTGAACAAGCCTATTCAAGCTCATTATACTGCTGCACATTTTAGGTACATGCTTCTCCACAAACATTCATTATGGGAATAATACAGTACAATCTTTATTGCCTCATACAAAAAAAGACGAAATTACATCTCTTAAAATGTTAAAACAATAAACACAAACAAAAATTAACATGAATAAATTTTCTTTAATAATTCAATGTTCAAAACAACTTAAAAACACAATGAAAGAAACTGTAACACAAGTTATTTAATGAGACTTGGGTGGCATAAACAGAACTATAACCCGTTTCGTCCGACAAGATTTAAAAATTCCACAGGCCTATTTCTAACAATGAAGAGAGATGCACCGACCCCCCAAAAAATAAAGAGATTGATACTGAAATCCCATATTATGACAGAACCTGGAAGACCAACTGGTGAATAAGCTCACTGAAACCCAAGTAAGCCCCAACCTCACGTGGCTAGAGCTAATTGAGCTAATCAGACAATCAGCCCCTCCCATGACACCCCTATACATCAAAAAATGGTCTGAAAAGGCAACTGAAGGTTATGAGCTGATGAATAATGACTTACACAGTGCATTCATTACCCAGCCTTCAGTCCTCAGGCTCTGCCACAGAACAAGCAGTAGGATCAAACCCCACAAACCACCTAAGCAAACACCACGGAGGAGGTTGAGATCCAGGTCATTCAAATAATTCTTTCCATCGTTTACAGTATTATAAAAAAGGATTTCAGAATCAATTTCTCAAATATACCTTGAGAACTCGTGAATATATACTGTATACTGTAGTACCATTAAACAGCAAGATGAAGTAGAGTGGAAGTGAACAAGTTAACTAAATGGCAGTGAAGGCTGTCAGTATATGTATGTGTGTGTGTGTGTGTGTGTGTGTGTGTGTGTAAGTAAATATGCACATGGTCTATATGAAGCAGTGAGTGTTCAGCTGTTTCAATGGGATTACACTAAAAATTTCCTCATAAAATAAAATTTGTATGCAGCACAAGATACAACCACAATACTTGTCAGATCAAGGAGTATCACTGTCCTCACTTACATAATCTGGTTTAACTAAGGTCTTTTTGTAAGTAATATGTACTTAAACATAAACAAATCCTTCAAGTACTTGAAACGTTACAATTATTCTCACATGCAATTATGAACAGTGAACAACAGGCTCTGCAGTTTTGTTACTGTACAATAGTGAATTATTATGAAAAATTTGGTTGTATATAGTGTTATACATATTTGTATTGAGAATGTATTGTAATTATATATGTTGTACTCTTAACAAAAGCACTAACTATCACCATTAAACATCAAGCCATGTGATACATAAACAAACACATACACAACTTTTATAAATATTGCATCACTATGTTAAGAGCTGCACCACAAACACAGTAACATCACAGTGACAACTAAAGCACACACACAACACAGCAGAATCAACTCCAACATATAACCAATTCATTTGGCTGAAGAGCAGTGAGAGAGAGAGAGAAGCAACACTGTACTCCGAGGAAATCTTTTGTCACCCTTAGACCTCAAAGGCATTCTTCATATAATAACTCAGCTACTAATTGTAAGCAGCAAAATTACCTTAAAAACATGGCAAACAAGAAGAGTCAGCTATATCTCCTGCTTTGGAAATAATACTGAAATTAGAGTATCCTTTTTTCTTTTTTTTAACCACTAGTTTAATCTGTATATAGTACAAGCTTTTATTTAAACAACTGACAAAGTTTTTACTTATGCTCCAGAAACAAAATTCGAACAAATGTACAAACAAGCTGATGGACTGACAGAAATCACTTCTATATTCCCTCCATTTCATTAAGTGGGGGATAATTAACGATGGAATAGCCAGTAAGGAAACATCACCCTAAACTAAAACACTATACTGTACTACACTGCCTCATGGATTACTATAATGTTTGTTACAGTTCTAGGGCAAATTTATTGCTATCAGTGTGTAATGGTAAAATGATGTTTCCTTAAATCACAGAAAATTACTGGCCAAACAGGCAACAGGAGAGTTATATCAACCATAAAACAGTACAGTACTCTAAAATGCCATGGTATCTGTCTTTTAAAGTTGAGTAAATCAACAGAGTTATTAAGAACTAATCAAGGGTTTGGATTCTCGAAGGTTCAATGATCAAGTTTTTCCTCTAATGTTTATATAATAAGATATTTAACTATAGTTCATTCAAGTTTCAGTGCAGAGAAGGAAGGATTTTTATATTACAATTACACTGAGAGATGCCACTGTACCCAGAGGCATTCCCTAATTCCCAATCTGGGTCAAATTAGTAGTTGAAAGATCTTCAAGAATCCAAATCCAAAAACAAACAGTAAATATTGGGTAAATACAAAAACAAGACAAAACCATGAGGCAATCTCAGTCTCTTATAAGGGATACTGTATAAAGGTGACTCTGAAATTATTTTATTGGATAGTTATGAGAGATTTCCTTAATACTTCTCAAGTCTCTTTCCATTGCTACCCATGCACATATCATAAGTATAAAATAATAATAATACAAACTAAAACAAGACAACGGCAGCCATGGAACAATTCTTACACTTACTTGGTCTCCAATGGCCAACCCATGGGGACCCGAGCGGCCAGGATTTTGCTCACCAAGCATAGGAAGATGGTCGCGGTACACTGTGCCCCCCTTGGCATCATTTACCACTTTAAGGTCAGCCTGAAAGTATCACAATATAAATGCATAACACAATAATAAATTAATTTACCAGGAGCTTCAATTTGTAGAGGTTGACCACAAAGAAGAGCCTCTCAAGTTACTCAATTACTAAACATGTCCTCTGCCCATTTAATTTCCTTACTCCTCCTGTTGTCACTGCATATTTCACTTCTCCCTCTACTCCTTCTCCTGCTCTCTCACTGCATGTTCCACTTCTCCCTCTACCTAACAAACTCACTAAATTGTCCCTGTCCACCCCGGTTACTGTCCTTTTACATGTCTATACCATCTCGGATAACTTTACTTATTAAACAGTTTATCCTCTCTGTCTACTCCTTCAGGTAACCCCAGATGGAGCCCTCCGGTTACTAACTATGTACTGTAGCTTATTGTTTAAAAGCATTTTGCTTCCCTCTTAGTCCACGGTTCACTGACATAAGGTAACGTAAGAAGCATTATACAGTAATATCTCTGTGTTCCTCCTTCACCTCTAAATTTACAGTCGTGAATCATTGCAAGTTGGACTGTCATAAATCAGCATACCTGTACATAAGGCTTTTAAAATATTTTTCACATGTACATTATATAACTGAGAGCTGATTGCAATTACAACCAACATTTATAGATAATGGTGAAAATATAATAAGTATTGCAATGTACCTCAACTTTTTCACTTTTTCTTTTTACACATTTGAATTATACAGTAAATCCAATTATGGTAAGTCAATTAGACGACTCACCATTCCTTCAAAGCCAACCCTGTACAAGTTTTTGGCACCATTATCCCATATGACATAAGCAGCTGATCTTGGTGACGCTGCAGACCAATCCTGAATCTCAGAGACCTTTCCTCGCCGACCATTACCTCCATCTTGGTCCTCCCACTGCCAGTCTACTCCTCTCACCACTCTGGCACCGGGGAAGATGCCTCGAATGCCGATTTTCTTACTCTTACGACGAGGCTCAAGTAATACTCTGTCAACGATGAGATTTAATACAGTATTATGGTAGAGAGACAAACTAAAAACAACATTCAGTACTGTATAAGACTGGTTGACTAAACTAATGATAAAATATATATAGTATAGTGCTTTAGTCATGGTTCACATGATCATGAGAAGCAATGGAATGATACTGACTGAGGATGTTTCAACTGTGGGAATGCTGATGTATTTAAATTCCACATGTGGAGAATAAAATGTTAAATGGATCAGTCTGAAATTTCTCCATCAGATATAACCTCATCAAAAATCAATTCCAGTGAAAGCAAACCATCTCAAAATTTATATATGTACAGTGTAATAGACTTACTATTAATGCATCACTACCACATTAAAACCACAGGAATTGGCTAGGCCTTATAATCATTGTGTGCACTAAATATACTCTTTAAAAACATGTTTGAGACATTTTTGAGGAAAAGTTTGTTGGTAAATGTGATCCAATCAGGGAATGCTATTATTTTGTCTTTCAGCCATTGACTTGTAATGTACCATACAAGGTGCTTCATAGGTCACACATCATAGAAAAATTTATATTCTTTTTCCAGTGAGGGAATCATAATAAATTAACGATAATGACAGAAAAATTAACATTGGAGGAGAGAATCAATTTGATATTCATGTTTGGACAGCCAGATGCTACACATCAATCAGTTACAAAATGAATCTAGACAACATTTGTAATCTTCGTTGATTTATGATTCCTTCACCTGAAAAAAGAAGAAAAAGAACATTAATTTTCCTATGGAGAGTGACCTATGAAACACCCTGTGCATTAATCCAAAATAAATAACAAGGAACCACCCACCTCTCACAGCCAATTGTCGTGATGCGATAGAAGCGGTGCCTGGGGTTGTGTTTGTCGCTGTGATAACAAACTGAACAGAGATCGTAATTGCTACACTCTGCACATTTCCACCGTATTCCAAATATAGGTTGTTGCCTACAAGTGTCACACATGGTGCCTTCATGCTTTACCCCTGGAAAAATATCATGCCATGAGATTGATTATCTGCAGGACCATAATACTGTACATGATTGTTGGGAGGATTTTTTTTTTTTTGTTTTTTTTAGCTATATTACCCTCTGTCCACCATTATACAGGGACTGGAATCAAGGTCAACACACATACAATACTACAGTGGAGTCACGATAATTCACGAGCTAGGTACCAGAATACACTACATCATGAATTAGCAAATTAAGAATTATAGTTTAACCGATTTAAATGGAAAAATTAGCTAGGTTCCGGAGGCCTAAAAATAAGCAGCCAGCATTTGGCCTCAAATTATGAATATAGTATTTTACAGTGCAATCAACGGTGATATTACAAAGTAGTTTATTGTTTATTTACTGTGCATATATTAGTGGTTTACTCAGGATTATGTTGATTCTTTCTCTTGATTTAATTAATCTGTATCTGTTCATGATGGAACCTACACACTTATCATGGAAAACATTTTTTTATTAAATTTGTAATTTTTATAATTCCAAACCTTCACTCCCGAACTGTTGGGATAAAGAGAAGGCTGTGATTGAGCCTTGGACTAAGTTGTGCCAAGTTGCTAATTTGTCTTTTGTTTTTGTTGTGCCATAATTGCCCTCATTAGTACATTAATCTTTAATGTAATTCAAGTTGATAAGTTATGGGATAATAATACACCCCAACCAATACACCGTATAGCTGTTGTTGTTATCATTAATAATTACACCTTTAGGTCAGATGAATAAAGAACACACACAAATGACTTGAAACATAGGGATCAGTGTTACGTCTTGATCATAATACTGTACTGTATAGTGTCAGCTAAGTTAGGTTAGGTTAGGTTGGGTTGGGTTAGGTAAGGTAAGGTAAGGTAAGGTAAGGTTAGGTTAGAATCAATACGTATATATTTGTACACCGCACACTATAGTAGCACTGTGAGTTTGGTAAGAGCTACAGGATATGTTTAAAATAACAGAAAACAAAACACGATGAAATTTTCCTCACCAGTCGGCGCAGAATCTAAGACCCGAAGATCATAGGCACCAGCACAACGGTAGTTGGCAGCTGTTCCATTATCCCACACGACCACAACTTCTTCGGGAGATTCAAAATTCCTCACAGTTCCCACATGCCCTTCACCGCCATCCTGTGGAAATAATGATATAGACGAATATGATGGCAACAATTAAGCTGAGTTTGAGTCTATGAACGACGGGTGAAAACAGTACAGTACAGGGAACATGTCGTGACTCAAACTCTCAGAACGATAAGGGAAAAAGCACGAAATCTACAGCGATTAACCTTTTTTTTTAACATTATATATCTTCAATTAATTTACAAGATCATTTTTTTTTTAACACACCTAAAGAGATATTGTGCCCACCTGGGCACAGGTCATCAACCCACAACGGGGCCTAGGGGCAAAAAAAGAAAAGTAAAAAGATATTTAAAATATAAAGAAAAAGATTATATTAATCTACATCACGAAGGTGCCGGAAAACCAGGTTTTTGAAGCGAGACATTGCTTTAGTATGGAAACAAAGAAGGCAGAGAATTCCACAGTGTGGCTGAAAGAAGGCTGTACTATAACGGGTTATTCTAGTGTGACCGACATCCACAAAGAAACGGTGGAAACCACGGGCAAGACGAGTGTTACAAGCCCACAGCCTTGCCGGAGGTACACAGGATGCCAAATCCACCAAACATTGCCCGTTATAATACAGATCCAACATAGGCATCTTACAATTATCAGTTTTGGTGTTCCAGTCTTTTTTTCTTTTCTTTTTTGTCTATGACACTGTCAGTAGACCACCAAGAGAAGTCCACTGTAATAACAGTGTAATAACTGAGCAATTATTATGCAACTTTGGCTGTGTTCAATAGTTCACTCCTGTTGCAATCTGACATGGCCTAAGTTTAGCTTGTTTGTATTCACAGATGACAAGGAGGCTATTGCAGCCTACTTGTCACACTCAGTAAAACAAAACACTAAATTTCAAGATACCTTTACCAGATACATAATATTCTCAAGGCAAGAAATAGGGTAGGTAAAATTACAGATTACAGCAACCAAAGAATCTGATAAAAAAAATGTGTTACTTAACCTAACCTAATGTAATATAAGAAAATTATTATAGAAAAAATATTTCTATCGATTGAGTGTAGTGAATTTCCGGAATTCTGTTGTTGCTGTTTACTGCAATATTACCATAGGGTTTGGGTACACTCCTCTTCCTATATCATTATGATACATTATGAAAATACCATAAACTATATGGTATTATTAATTTGACAAGTTCTTCATATTGTGTCAAAAATTAAGCAATTAAGCAAAAACCATCTCCCTGCATTAAGAAACAAGAACCAAACTAGAGTCAGTAGCCACGACCAATGAACAGTGATGGAATGTTTAGCTCACCTTATATTGAGATGAAAGATAACTTATGTTAGTTAGTTCAAGTTCTAAAATTATATCAAGGAACAGTGAACCACAGTATCTATCTAGCAGGAACACACAGTAACAATACTCCAACTGGGATCAACGTTTGGGTCAGGCCGAGGGTAAACCTACCTGTTTTCCCCACTTCCAATCAGGTCCTCTGATGACTCTAGCGCCAACACCTTCCATCATGTATCTCGTGTTCCTCCCGGTGGTTGCTCCTGCTGCCTCCATAGCCAAGTGAACGCCAGGAAGGAGTGGAACAAGGGTTAAAACACGAGGGTCTGGGTCAGGAAGGAACGTCACACAACTCGGTGTTTATGTTCCGCTGCCTTCATCAATAAGTGAAAATATTTTAATATATTTATATCGCTGATAATTTATACTCAGAACCTATAAATATTGCACAAGATATATTAAAAAATTCGCTATTATGTTTTTCTGACATTTATATATATTTTTGCAAGGTATAGTGAACGTTTCCTCATGTTGAAGGTAGAATTCGTTAAACAAATTATATTCAACAAGTACAAGGATAAGTATAATTCTTTGTGACATTCAACACAAATGCCACCACTAACATTGTAATAATAATTTACTTCCAAGGAGAGACTCATATCCGGCCGGAACAGCATATATGTGTGTGTTACTTTGCTATACAGTTGAGAGCATAGACACACACACACACACGTCCTGAGAATATCTTTGTATTTTTCACCGGAATTGAAGTTTGACAGACACGATAGATTGCAGAAATGGATCCAGATATTCAGGTTAGCGAGGCAACAATTTGTTTAATATGCTGAGGGGTACAAATATGTCTGGGTCGGTAGATATTGGAGCCACGATTGGCGACTTTACTTTAGCCTTTTCGCCACTAATCGGCCCGTTAGCCGCTTAATAAGGCTACTTTTGCTTTATTTTTCTTTAGATCGGTGTTAACCCCAGGCATACTCTCCAGGAATAGAACAAGTCCATAGTTAGACTCATAGGCCTAAGAGGCAGTGTTTCCATATTATTTAGGGTCATATTATAAAAATGAAAATATGGAACTGAGACACTTGGTATGTTTTTATTTTGAACTGTTGTTATTTTTCACTAGAAATACACAATTATTGTTTTAGACACTACAATATATGTAATAGAAGAAATATAATCTCTAGAGCCTATCGAAAAAGAGCAAAAATTTATATCTTATTAATATCCCTGTAACTAAGTAGAATAAATATAAAAAACTAAATGGGGACACTGTAATCACAAGTTGGTCACTTACCTTTACAATCCTATAATAGTTGTGTTTACGTCAGGTTTGACTGGTTATCATTGTCCACTTTAAATTAAGAATAGTAATAAGTGGTTTAAATGGTTTTATCCGTGGTTTACTTGTAACATTGTTTTTGGGCGGACACAAAGCGACATATTAAAGGGCATTAAATCCGCCGGATGTCACCATGGTCATGACCCTTTAAAAGTAATTATGAACGATAGTCCCACTTACTATTGTAGCACCAATATTTAGAACTTGTTACACTTGATTTTTGTTATACTCTTATTATATTTATATTTGTTATAGCTATTAAATAAATTAAGTTTCATTACTTAGACCTACAGCTTCGTTAACTCCAGGGGTTCGATATCACTTGTCAGTTCAGGGTTCATATGTTTCTTTTTTTTATATAATTCATTTTGAACTAAAAATTAAGCAGCTATGTCAACCCAGGTTTGAAGTTACATAGATAGATAGATAGATATTAAGTAAAATGGTCTCCCCCAGGTGTGTGTGTGCGCGCACTCCAGGTCTATGCAATTTTTGGGTGGTTAAACGGCATTGGAAACTGGATACCTTCGTGGTCCATGGATACAGCACACCATATACCTGTATCTACACACATGAAAACTGTATACCTGCAGTCGTCTATATACATACCATACCAATTGTAAATCTGTATGAGGATTTTACTGTATTATAATTTCAGTATTTTATTATTATCATTATTACATTCCAGTACCTGTATTATCATTGTTATTATTGTTTTATTATTAGTTATTACATTATTATTATCATCACATTGTTGCTCCATTGATGATGATGTAATGAAGAAATGTAGACAGACATACTGTACAGAGGCAGAGTGGCCATGTGAGTCATAGGAATATTGAGGAAACAAGTTAACTGAAATAGACAGCAGATGGCACAGATAGACTCAAGCCTACATGGAGGACGATGGAGTACGAGGTTGGAGATACATTGGAGATCTAGAGACCGTGACATGGGACAGACAAGCGTGGTGGATGATGGGGGACCTAAACAAGTACGTATAAGGCTATAATTGCTGAAGAGTCATGGTGAAATTTCAGTGCCAGTTTGGCTATCATAGCATAAGTGAGCCAGTTAGGGGCTTCACACATTACCAGTTATGGGTAGCTTAGAATCTTGAAAGAATATTCCTCGGAAACCTGGAGTGTGGTGTGAGGTGAGTCTTAGTTAGGATATACCGTACTTGTTTAGCCTCCACCCAGTGACCGCGTCTCGTACCCATCACCCAGTTAGCAACAGGTGGCCTTATATACTGTTGGTCAAATATACTTCGGTTATAATAGGCATCAGGTCCTACCTTAATGGCCCCAGCCTAACTTAACCTTGAAGATTGGGGCCCAGTCTTAGTAGGCTTCAGTAAATTAGCGGGGCCCATTATCAAAAGGATTCAATTCTATTGGTTAGGTTGGGTCTGGAATGACTGGAACTTGCTAAAACTACTGTTGAGGAAATTTCACCTGCAACTGTAAGAGAAGGGTTTTCTGATAGTTATAGACTTGAAGGACAACTAAATAACATAAATGAAATGTATCAAGAACAGAGAGAATTGTCATGAGATAGAAGGACAAATAAAAGAAATGTGAACTAAATCATAACGGTAGACCGAGTAAACATTACCTCCAAAATAACACCCTGTCTCCTGGTGGAAGGTGTCTCACTGTCTCGAGTCATCAGTCTCACCCCTATTTCCAATCATTTGTTCTGGATGCGCCATAATCACCGCCATCATCTATCTACCTTCCTCATCTTTTCTCGCCTACTCTCCTATCATCTACTGTAAATACAATTTTAATAGATAAAATATTTGCAGAGATATTTGTGTTGGTTCTAATAACTAGTCCTACACTATACCAGAATTTCAAATTTAGTTAAAAAGAATTTTGGAGAAAAGAAAATCTGATTTGCCTTTTATTAATTCTAGTCAATCACAGGTCGTATGGAATAATCATAATGGCATAATTACATGCAGAACTCAACCTTAAGTTATAGTCATAGGAATAAATAATGACAACAGCAAAAATTGAAATAACGTTAGCGTAACATATGTTTTGATTATCAAAGAGGGATACTCCTGGGTACTCCCTAGTGGCCTTAACCTGATGTAAACTGCCATATAACTGACATCTCCGCCACCACTCAATGCACTTTTCGCCATTTCCATGTTCGCCAAGTTATGTTCAACTTTTGGGAAGTATTGTAGTTTAAGAATATACACATCAAAGACATGATAAATATACATATAAGGGAATGATTAAATAGTCAGGGATCATATATATTTACACATACAGAGAAGTGTCCTCGACAACATAAAGGTGGTACACAGAGATCTCTAGACCCTTGGGAATGGCAGGGGGAGCTTTCAGGGTTGAGACTTGACCTTCAGCAGTAGCCCAAAGGTCCTGACATCAACATACACTGCCCCTTAACTGCTAAACTCGCTAAGAACCTCACGTGTATATAAGCACTACAGGTGTTGAAGCTTATCAATTATTACCTTAACCAAATGAATATATATAAGCAGGGAGCCTCAAGGAACTTTTAATTTTATATGTACTGTACTGTGCTTATAATTTTCATACAAAATGTTAACTAAATAGGCTTAAAAAATATATATAATACTTAGGAAGCATGATAAAGCTTAGCAATATCACTGAGCACCAAAGGACAACAGAAGAAAACTTTATTGGGTGTAAAATTATGTGGTTTATGCATAAGCTGGGAGGTCGCTGTGTGTGTGTGGTAACTGGACAACCAAAGGCTCTGTGACACCCCTCAATGAAGCGTGACCACAGTACAGACAGGTAATAGAGTATAGAACTGCAACACAAGCGCCAAAATCTTATTACAAAATCCAATCTCCGCAAAGAATGGAACAGATAATACCCATTGGTGTACAGTACAGTACTAAGGATGGTATTTCACTGTTATTTTAAGTCGCTGCCAGTACAGTATAGCAGAAGTTCATAGTGGGTGTGATAGAGATCGGTGTGGTGCTGTGGTAGTAGTGATGACTGACTGTTGAGATAGTGGTAAGGGGCTCCTGGAGCAGCAGTGGGGCAGTGGTGAGGGTCTGCTGGGGTAACAATGAGGGGTTGAAGGGTTGCTGTTGCCCCTCACTTCTCATGTCAATGTTGGATAGCTTCACATGGTGTTTTGACCTTTGACCATCCAGCCATCTTGTTGGGGCTTACTTAAGCCTGGGGACCTTCGTGGCAAAGCTGCCTACAAAGTTGCCTGCTGGGCTATAATTGGCCACAACGTAAATCTTGCCGGACTTGTTGCGAGCAGTGGCCACGCCCAGCTCCTTACTGTCCTCCCACACCACCTGCGTAAAGTGACCTGTTGGAACCAAGTTCACAATTAGTAAGGAACTCCTTATCAGTTTTTCATTATTACAATCTATCAATCATCTTAACTAATTCTCAAATCATACAGTTAAAGTTAATTCCATAAACTAACCTGCCCTGAGATCACTGGGTTCCCTGCCGAAGGTGAAGTCCTTTATCTCCTCGTACCAGGAATCAACAGCCTCATGGCCCTTGATCTTGTGATTGGGGTTGGATGACCAGGCACAGTACAGGTTCTCACCATAACTGTTGTTCTGGCGGTGCTGCAGAACGTCCTTCTTAGCAATCGTTGTGGCCCATTCCTGGGCGTACTTGCTCAGCTGTAGATGGAAAAGAGGTAGTGAAGATAATAGTGATTTATAGAAGAAAAATACACAGTATCACTTGCACTTCTGGGTGGATGACATGTTCTGTAAGGAAATCAAAGACAAAGACACAAAATGATGGATTCTGACATTCTATAAGTTAAATCATCAGCAGCAACATCTATTGTATTAGTTTTGAGTATTACTATATAGTAATCACTGACAGAGGAACAGCATCAGTACAAAAATATGAGCTTATGTTCTGTAAGAGCATCTAAAAATGTATGTAATATTGGATTCATATATCTGATGTAGGTATAAAAATAATGTACTGCACTTGTCAGCTGCATCGCTAATGTTTTAATTCAATCATATGACTGACATGAGGGAGTAAGATTTCCCATTCCTAAGATAAATAATACCAACAATAATCAGCCAGTTCTCCCAGATTAAGATAATGAAAAAATCAACTTGCTCTTAAAGTCTTAGGTTAGACTATAGCAGCCACGGTTAACTCCTGTTCTTATTGGTGCTGAGACACAATCACATACAGTACTGTGGTCTGTCTCCCTCCACCATACATCCTGCTATGTCTTCCCTTCAGCTGGAGCCTCCATTTACAGTAGTCTGCCCTTCCTCCAGTACTGTGCTCACCTTCTTGCTGAGTTTGAGAGGCGGGGCACCATGCTTCTTGCGGAGGTCATTGTGGGCCTTGAGGCAGTCCTTAGCAAAGTCATCCTCATCAGAAGAGGAGTCCGAGTCACTGGTCGAGGACTTCTTAGTCTTGCTGCTGAACAGTGATGTCCTCCCCGAGGTCGCTGACTTAGGGAATCCGCTGACCACAAAAGAAAGAAAGTCAGGAATGTGATTTCATGTTTATCTTTTTTATCAACTTAAATTTTTTTTTTTTTTTTACAGAGAAATACAACAATAGACAAATTGTATTCACTGCATGATACTGAAGCTCTAAATTTATAAATATAAATTTTATTCTGACTACAATGAGGAACTGTACACTGTCGTTAGTGCAACCTGGATCCAAGCAGGCTTGAACACCCATCCAGTAAGCCAGATGAATGTTAGCCCGTCTTTTACCTACAGGAACACTCTTTAATAGCACAAACATGAGCAAAAACACGTTGTCTTACCCTACTGGTGGCACCTGATCAGCGAACTGGCCCATCCAATTGCCTTGCGGGTCGAAGTTGGCTACCACGAAGACCTTGGTGCCTGCAGCGTTCCTTGCCTTGCCCACACCCATCTGCTTCGTATCCTTCCACACCATCTGCGAGAAGTGGCCTGCAACACACATCAACACTCAATATGTGTATTATTTTCATATTATTATAATTATTGTTCTATTATGAGACTAATACCAGCTTATGTCACATAAAGATTAACCATCCAGCCTCACAAACCTAACACTATTTGGGGGATGAGGTCAAGTTAGGTTAAACTTTGGGTGAAATAAGCTGGCATGGAGATGATTTTTCAGGTAATCCATATGTATGTATGTGTGTGTGTGTGTGTGTGTGTGTGTGTGTGTGTGTGTGTGTGTGTGTAAGCATAGACCGCCACAACACTCACCAGACTTGAGGAGGGTTCCTTTAGGTTCCTCCCCGAACTTGTGTTCCTTATGCTCCCCGTACCACTTGTCCACCACCTCGTCTGACTTGACCTGGGAACATGCACAAGACATATTAATGGTCACTGGTCATATTTCCACCCACACCACCCAGAACACTGAGATATAACCTTAGCTAAGTACTTTTAGACCACTGTCTATTTACTTTTACGATCTATGTAGCTATATACTTAATAAATTTAAAACTGTATGAAGATTTGACCGAATATCTATCTATATTGTTTTTTTAAATATATTGACTCGTATAGAAACTATGTGAACAGAGCCTGAAGATTAAGCTTAACCTGTTGAACCACCATAATACAATACATTAAAACAAAAACAAAACAGAATCTGGTGTGGTAATTTCTCCAACACTGGCGGCCACCTCGAGGCTCTGGAGTGGCAGGACTCACCTTGAAGTTGTTGGTGTTGGAGGTGACACTGTAGAGGTTCTCCCCGTACTTGCTATCTGGGTTGTTGGACATCTTCTCATTCACCGCCAGTTTTTTGGCCCATTCTTTGGCATACTTGTTCATCTGTAGGTGGTGGCGGGGACGGGACGGCCACAGAAGGGCAAAGGTGGCCATAGTAGAAAATAGGAACCATAGGAGGGTGAGGATGGTCACAGGAGGACGAGGATGACCACAGGAGGACGAGGATGACCACAGGAGGACGTGGATGGTCACAGGAGGACGAGGATGGCCACAGGAGGACGAGGATGACCACAGGAGGACGTGGATGACCAGAGAAAGAAGTAGATGGCCACAAGAAGGCGAGATCCGCCAATAGGAAGGCGAAAGTGGCCACAGGATGAAGGGGGTGGCCATGGGAGGGCAGTGGTGGCACAGACGGGGGGCGAGGGACGATCATAGGAGGGTCAGGGGTGGACACAAATAGTGGAGATCACAAGGAAGAGAAGGAGTAAGAAGTAGGAGGAAGAGAAGGAGTTGGAAGAGGAAGAGAAGGCATTGGAAGAGGAGTAGGAAGGAAGGAGAAGGATTAGGAAGAGGAGAAGGAGTAGAAAGCAGAAAGAGGAGTAAGAAGAGAAGTTGTGAAGTAGGAAGAAATGGAGTTGAAAGAGGAAGAAAAGAAGGCATAAGAAAAGGGAGAGGGAGGATAAAAAAAGGAAGCACACGAACAGCAACAGATAACAGAGAGGAAATCATGACACAGATAACAACAAAAAATTGAATATCAAGAAAAGAACAAAAATAAAAAATTAAATAAATTAAGGACACAAACGTATGTACAAAAGGAGAAATAATAAGATAATATGCAAATCAAAGTACAAGTGAGGATAATAATGGATCAAGTAACGAATTGAGAGAGAGAGAAATATAAAGCAAAATTAACAGCAAAGGTAAAACAGTGTCCATTGAATCAAGGTTAAGAGAAGGAAGGGTGAATAAACAGTGGGAAGAAAAAGAACAAGAATAAGAAGAGAGGGAGAAGATAATTACGTTAGTATGTTAGTGGGTTAAACACCTGTACTAAATGACCACCATACTACAATTAACACCTGTACTATACACTATCACTATAACTAACATCTGTACATGTAGTATACTGTCACCAAAGTATAACCAAAACCTGTTTCACACACCATCAGGCATATTAGCATAAAATATATCAACCAATATGAAAAAAAATATGAATGTGGGTCCCATTCTGTGTGGACGCTGTAACACTGTTCAGTATCCTAAGCTTTCAGTATACACAAGAACACAGCGGCCGACACTGCATTCTACAGTCTTAACTCCCTCAACTGTATACAGTATTTAGGTACCTATTTACAGCTGGGTGGACTAAGGAGGTCCTGGGATCGAACCAATGACACTTTAGGACTGAAGTCGAGTACTGTATCCCGGCAGTGTGTGGTCAGGCTTTGAGCCACAACACTTGGCATTATATTTATTTATTCTTTGTGGTCCAATGTGATTCAGAAACAAAAGTAAATCGCTTAACTCTTGTATTTTAATTTGTCATTCCATATTGCACTGTAAGCCCTTCCTAACGCCCCCCCCCCTCCCTTCGCTTTTGGTGGATAAGAGAAGAGCCACCATCCGCCCACCCGTGTGTGTGTGGCTAAAACCCTTGGTTTATGGATGTAACCTTTTAACAGACCTCGCGTGAGCCCGTATAATCGTTGTCTTGTCTTTATATATCTTTAGGACTTATTGTGCTTCGTCTCCATGGCGACGCGGGTGGAAGGTGGGGCGGGTGAGAGGAGACCCTGTACCTCAGCGGTCTTGGTTTATTATTATTATTATTTAGAGTTCCGTCCATTCCTGTCTTCCCTCTTGTTCCTCCCATTCACTCTTTTCTCTTTTTCTTCTTCCCAAGTATTATTTTATCCCCCTTTCCCCTTACCTGTCCTTTTTAGCCCTTTCGTTGACACTATTCCTCCCTTCTTAATCTTCCTCTCTTCCTGATATTCCTTCTCTTATCTCTAATTCCTATCTAGTCCTTTTCCTATTGGGTCTTTCTTCTTCCACTTTGCTTTATTATTCCTCCTCCATCTCTCTATTTATCCTCCACTCACTCAATCTTAGTTTCTCTTTCTCTATTTTCCTTGTTCATCTTACAGTCAAGCATTAGGATAAGATCTGGGTATGTCACTAGGGCGTGTAAAAGACGAATCTATCTACCTCTTTGTAAGTATGTATGTATGTAATGTAAAAAGCCCTATGCTAATTTTCATATTTATCTTACTTATTTGTATCAATAATAATAATACTGGGTCGTGTGAGAATATAAATAAAATAATAATAATAATAATGGTACGAGATGTGGACCATAAACTAGGATCAAACAATATCAATGTCAGTGAAAAGTGCACTAAACGCAATGTACCGCAGAGTGCACACCAAATACGGCCCAACGTGGTGACACTCCCGCCCCCTCCCTCTCAAGAAGTAGGTTAAGGTCGCCTGGTGCACTAACCTATTATTGCCGCACCCATTCTTTTTAAGTGGAGCATTATTAACAACAGGAATCACGGAATGTTGGCATAAATTACCTATGTGCCGTATTGAGTGCCGCCCACTCGCTACTGAGGTCACCCGATAAACAGTATTTAGGCCAAGGCCGCCGGGACACTACGCGATATAAGCTTCCCATGGTAAAGGTATTCATCACGTTATATATCAATCACTAATATAATATTAATATAATATAATATAATGTACAGTTCATGTTGTGTGTCCCCGAAAAAAATCCATAAAAAATGGACGCATCATTAGAAATTTACACGAAAATGGAAATATTCTTTGATATTTCTTAAGAGATAAATAAAATAATATATGTATACAAATTATTAGATATACTGTTATAAAAAAAATTGCAAAATGTGACGTCTACTCGTGAACATATATTTTATCTACGTTTCCGTCAACACTTAATGTTTCCTCCTCACATATTCCCCAATACCCTCTTCATTCCCCACCATCACCCAAAACCCGCTTCCTCCCCTCCATCACCTCCCCACCCCCCCTACAGCTCCTCACCCAAGGATAATGAGATGCCAAGTCGGGTTTACTGGCCTCGCTTTCCAAACTTTTTTGATGAAAATTTTAAGAAAAAAACCCTCCCATGTATCAAAGCATCTCTCCACCCATTAATCATTCAGGTGATTAAATATGTACACGTGTACAATAACACACACATCTATAAATTAATTACAATCTAATATCCATACCATAACCGGTAAGTAAAACACCCACACAACACCCTTGATCCAGACGAGCATGTATATTAATTACGGGTCATGGTCCAACGAATTCATGACAAACCATAAATTGAACTAAAAGAAAAAAATTATTTTAGCATGTAGTGTACAATGTTATACCCCACAACCACAACCACAACCACCCGAGATGTTATTATAATAGTGGTAGCTTGTTTAATTACAGTATTAGATGTGAGCGGAAGTGTTAAGATGCCGTAAATAACGCACTACAATATATTAACGAGTTTTCTTACCAGCAGAATCACCACGAACACTTGCGTTGGCTATAAGAAAATACTAATTACATTACATCTCTCTTTTTTAAATCTCTCAAGCAAAGTTAAATACACTTCATATTTATTCCATTGGTTGAATTATATTATTAGGGATTTGAATTCATTTCTAGGCCGTTAAATTTCATTTTAGCTCGCGGGAAAGATAAATTAACATTGAAAATAATCAACACTCGCTGTAATTAACATCATATGCATTCTGACAATAATTAACCTAAAATTAATATAAATCTAATAGAGATGATAATTAAATAAGGCTTAGAATAATAAAATAAACCTAGATGATAATTAAGGCTTAGAAAATTAGTAAAATAAACCTAGATATATAAATACAATACTGTACACGTATGTCCTAGAATCAGTAATTAAATAAATCTAGATATATTAAACTAGATAATATATAATTATAACTTGGCTATATAATTATCCTATAGGGTTACATACACCCTACACCACACACTTCACCTTGTCTTAAGTATATATAATCACATAAGTATATAATTAACTATGGGTAAATTTTTCACTTACACACACACACACACACACACTTATACATATACAGATTCACCCGTACATGAATAATACACACACACATACTCTCACCCGTACATAATACACACACACACCCATACATAACACACACACACACCCGTACATAATACACACACACACACACACACACACACACACACACACACACACACACACACACACACACACACACACACACACACACACACACACACACACACACACACACACACACACACACACCTACCTGTACATACACACGCATAAACAATTTCATTTATTTGTCAGTTGTATTATTTCATTAATTTTTCATTACTGTCTTGTCAATCATCTTTATTCATCCCAGTTAGGCATCTTATTCATTTTTTATTCATACCTTTTCCATTTACCTTCATCTGAGATCTATTCATATTCATTGCTCCAGTCCCATTATGCTCCTCAAAGCTCCAGTACCAATATGCTCCTCAAAGCTCCAGTACCAATATGCTCCTCAAAGCTCCAGTACCATTATGCTCCATCACCCTAATCTTACTGACTCAAGAGCAACCAATATGCTCCATCACCCTAACTTGACTAATGGTTACCCAATATGCTCCACTAACCGAAACTGGTTTATAATAGGTTAAAGAGCACCACAGATCATTAAGCATAAAACATTAACCCTGACTAGAGGCTCAGATGACTACTACCACCACCACCACCACCACTACTACCACCACTACCACATCTATAATGAACCAGGGCGTCCTCCAGGGGGTAGGGGAGTCCTGATAGCCTATAAATCATTATTCACTTGAGACTTTCTAAGACTCTCAGATAGTAACAATTAATGAGCAAAGTCTTAAGTGGGGGTGGAGGAGGGTGGCAGAAGGTCTTTTAAACGTTGAAGGGAATTAAACAGTATCAAATATAACGCTAAATTAATAAGGTGTAAATAGAGTATAGAAGAGAAAATGAAACGTTGTCCACACACACACACACACACACACACACAAAGATCGTAAATAAATGAAATGTAGACAGAAAACTAGACGTAAATTCAACGTTCTAGTGATATTTTAAAAGAAGTTATTATTCTTTGTTAAATTCGATGAGTACAAAGAATATGAACTCTGTATTATTAACATTCCATGAGTACATTTATATGAGGTTTCACTTCTCAAGAGTTAAGGTTGAACTTAACCAAGGAAGGATTGGATTGACTGGTATAGGTAAACACAAGACCTTAGTTAGAACATTTTGACTGTCAGAGGAAAAACCAACAAGCAACTAAAGTCCTTATCTGTGTGTGTGTGTGTGTGTGTGTGTGTGTGTGTGTGTAAATGAAATCCATATCCTGTGCTGAATATTTCAGTATGGACCAAGGACAAGGACGAGAAGTAGGTCAGGCTGGTCAATATACTCATTCAGTCCTCACCTACTGCCACACACCACTACACCACACTACACTATCACACCCACCCACACCACTGCCACACACCACTACACCATACTACACCACTACCACACACACCCACACCACTGCCACACACCAGCACTACCATACTACACCACTACCACACACACCCACACCACTATCATACACCCACATTACACTACTACACCGCTATACCCACACCACTATCCACCACATCGCACCCACACCACCCCATACCGCTACCCACCGCACACCACACGCCCACCATCACACCACACAACCACCATCACACATACACACTCACACAGTTACACACACACACACCTACATAAATAAAACGCACTCACACCCACCACACCACAACCACACACACCATCCACCCACAACCCACCTCCTTGTTCAGCTTCAGCTTGGAGACCCCATGCTTGGCCCTGTGCTCGTTGACGCCCTTGTGGACGCCCTTCACGAACTCCTCCTCGTCGCTGGAGTCACTGCCATCGGGCTTGTCACCCTTCAACTTACTCAACAGTCCTCCCTTGCTGGACTTGGTGCCGGACTTAGTCTTTACCTGTTGGAGTTAAAACCATCTACAGGTGGTTTTTGGACTAAGAAAAGATGGACTTGGTCTTTACCTATTTCACCTGAAGATTATTAGCCCCTTGAATATTTAACCTGAAGATTAACCCTCCCGCATATTTTACCTGAAGATTAGCCCCCTAACCTAACCTAACCTAACCTTGGAGGTCCTGGCACGGTCGGGGGAGGAGTCACTGCTGGAGGAGGAGGACTTAGGGCGTGAGCGTCTGGTCGTCGAATCTGGCGACACAGAAATGGAATCTCATTAGAGGGTTGGCTTAGTGTGTGTGTGTGTGTGTGTGTGTGTGTGTGTGTGTGTGTGTGTGTGTGTGTGTGTGTGTGTGTGTGTGTGTGTGTGTGTGTGTGCAATACATTAAAAAAACGTGGATAAAATTGAGGAAAAACAAAAGCAAAAATATGGGTGAGAGGAAACAAGTGGGTACAAAAGAGGTGGGAAGAGGACAAAAAATGAGGGAAAGAGGACAAAAAAGTGAGGAAAGGAGAAAAAAAGGGTGAGAAAGCAGAGAGGGAGAGAGAAAGACAAACAATCGTATCCTTAACTATTTTCTGCCGAGTTCCTTGACATAATTACAATGATTAACAGAGAGAGAGAGATGAAAAGAGATATAAAAATACAAATAAAATACAGACATAAATAGAAACAGAGACGGAAAGAGAAACTGGATAGCAAGACAGATAGAAAAGAGAGAACGAGAGACAAAAACAAGAGAGAGACCTCACCATCGAGCGCGGCGGCCATCTCCCTGGTACAGTAAGAGTCGAGAGCCTTGGTGACCGTCTTGGTGGTCTTGGTGACGTTACCAGCATCATCTTCTTTCGTCACCACCTCTACCGTCTCCTCGTACCTCTGTAACACGTGGTAACTCAGTAACTCACATCATAAACTCTGTAACTCACGCCAACACTCAACACTCGTATAACACATGCCAACATCCACACTATGTTGCCTTAATAACATCAACTAACACACACACACGACCATTTAAATTACTGTCAAGGTTTCCTGTACGTGTGCAAGTGAAAATTAAGAACATGATGTGTCTATCTCTCTTTCTTTATCTTTCTCTCACTCACTCTCCCTCTTTCGTACTACCTCTCTCTCTCTCTCTCTCTATGCTTCTTTCTCTCAATCCGTCTCTTTCTCTACCAGTCTTTCACCCTACCTCTCTTCTCTCACCCAAAAAATATTCCAAGGCTCAGTTTATATTCAACATATTTTTTTTTCTTTAAGCGAAATGTTAACAACCTGTTATAGTATCGTGTTTATGTGACCCGTAATTTTATTATTAACATCTATGAGACAAGTTTGAGATAATATAAATGTTTATCACCGACACAAACTTCATCTGGCACCCAACACTATTTAGTAACTATTTAAAACGGGGTTATGATACCAAGAAGTCATTAATTTTTCTCTCTTTTTAATATTTGTTTTGTTTTAAACTCATAATTTTTTTTATTATTCCTGTTTTTAAATCACAAGACTTCAGTGTGAGAGGCTGGGTGGCGGAGAGGAGAGGATTATGGGAGATCAATAGAGCATCGTCGTGAAAATCTGAGGAGCCATCGCGCTGTGTTGCGGTCGGGTGTAAATAAAATTTTAAATTTATATAAACAAGTACCTGTTGATTTATCCTGGTGAAGATAACTTTTTAAAAATACGGTACAGTACCAGAGAGGGTACGGTACCAGATAGAGGGTACAGTACCATTTAGAGGGGGTACGTACATAGATTATTACACTAAGACTCACACAACTAGGTACAGTACACGCTATAAGGAAATTAAGGGAAAGGAACTTATAACACGTCACACTGCCTGGCGAAGGGGAGACGGAGGAGGAATAATGCCCTGAGTCAAGTCTATACCGTGACGGGGGTGTTTTGGTCATGTGACACCGTGACGTCATACACCGTAGGTCCCACCAGGACGTAAACAAAGGCAAGAAAAACAACTGTTGATGAGACGTTATAATTGTGTTGATACTAGACCAAACACCCGCCGCTACACTGTTTGGGGTCCACGCGGCGAGCAAATTCCTCGACGTCGCGCAACACTGAATGTGAAATCGATAAGAGAATAACACCTCATATTTAATTGATACTGGACGCCCTTCAAGAACATTACGTATAGACTCTTTAATACGAAAAAAAAATGAGGGTTAAAATAGATATAGTGATATTATATAGTGTATAGGACGTTCTTTTAGGTTTTAATGAGTGAAGATAATGTAAAAGCGAGGTTAAGAGAGAGACGTGTTGTGGTGTGGAGTGCAAGCAGGTGGCAGGAAGGGAATGCAGGGTATAGTGAGAGGCTGGGGGTTAAAAGTAGTAGTAGTAATCCACCAGCACAAACGCCATAACACGTCCCAACACACACACACACTTCATCACCACAACACTCACACAACCATCATAACAACACACTTAACACCATAAAGCAGATGGTTATAGCTTGAGTCACTGTAAAAACACTTCCTTTCCTGAAACTCTATATCCCTTTACAACTATCATGACTCATAGACCTAAACCCATGTCAGTCGAGACGTCACAACACACACGATTTATTTATTGCATTTATTCATTTATTTTCACCGTTTTTTTATATATATTTCCTGATCAATTTATGAAGTTCTACGATTCTAAACAGACACTACATCGTGATTACTGGGGTCAATTGGTCGCAGATATGACACTAGACTAGACCAATAGGAATCAAGGTATAACATATTCTTGAGTTGACGTTAACCCAGTATAATGTTGTGCGTGCTGGCGCCTAAACTTTCAAATCCCTTAGTAAGGACAAGCTGGCAGATGACTCATAGCGGTCACCGGGGTCTTGTGATAGGCAACAGCTCAGCACACACACACACACACACACTTATAGTAAACATTTCGCGTAAGTAAATCACACAGTAGAACATTCTTATTAACTATATAGGGTACTACCAGAAAATGCACCCCGCCCCCACCTGCCTGGTCCCTGAGACATTGTAAGTTGGAGGGAGGGAGCAGACAGGCAGAGAGGGAGGGAAGCAGGGAACAGGCAAGCAGGGAGCAGGCAGGGAGGAAGAGATGGAGGCAAGGACAATTTTCTGGGACACCCTATAAAGATGACTATCGGGTCGTTTTTTGTCCCTGGACTACGTCGAACAGAACAGTTTATTAATACCAGTGTGTGTGTGTCAAGTGTGAAGGTCGTAGATCAAGGGTCGTCGTTGTTATTAGCGAGTATTAGTCAAGTTTGAAAGGTAAAAACATCCAGGATTTTTTTACACACAGTCACACAAGTAAGACGGGATAATTGTAAATATTGTTTGTCTGGAAGATCTGTCCCACTGTTGACTGTATCCATGTTGAAAGTGGGCTATGAGTGGCTACCTCAACGAACGTCTCTCTCTCGTGGGAAAAACAAAACCACCAACCCAAGTGAAATTCATACAGAGAGAGAGAGAGAGAGAGAGAGAGAGAGAGAGAGAGAGAGAGAGAGAGAGAGAGAGAGAGAGAGAGAGAGAGTTGTTATCTGAAGTGGCAAACAGACAGACAGACATCATGACACGTGACGGTTCATAAAAGAGACCAAAATAACCAGATAATAACAGACTTCAACACGTTATGGCGGCAAGCCACATGACATACATTCAACTATTCATTTTTCTAGTACACAGACAAATCAGATTTAATAGATCATTTGGGAATTCAGGACTCAACCTTATATTAATTCAGGACTCAACCTTATATTAATTCAGGACTCAACCTTATATTAATTCAGGACTCAACCTTATCTCAGGAACTTTTACCAGCCAGAGAAACAAAGTGAGCCGGACTGTGTGGTATGTTGATAAAGGATATCGTAAGGCAGTGTCCGGGTATACACAAAGGGATTAGGGCGTTTGTACACTTTCCTTGTTTAGCTTGTCTAACTAAGGGCTCACGTGAAGATTAGACACCCCTAGATTATTTCACCTGATCATTAAACATACCTAATATTACCTGAGTTAGGTTAGGTTAGGAACTTAGGATATGGTAGTTTAGGTTAAAGATATGTTATATTAAGTTAGGGAATGTTAGATTAGGTTAGGGAATGTGTTAGATTAGGTTTGACGACGTTAGCTTAGGTTCGGAGATGGTAGATTACGTTAGATGTTAGATTAGATTAGGAGACTTTATACTGGGTTAACCTTTTTGGGCAAAAAAATCCGGTCTAAGAAAACAAACCAATCAAGTACACTCTACTGATGACGTCACCCAGTAGACGAACGATCGCGTCATCGGGAGGGTAAACATCATCATGGCTGCCGCAACACTATCGCATGTCCCCTTATTATCTTCACTTTGTCTGTGGCAAGAGTTGCACTGCCTGCTACCATTACCAGCACCTACTGTACGTACACACACACACACACACACACACACACACACACACGCACACACACACACACACCTTCCCTGCACATATCATAAAATTCTGTTATTCACTTCTACTAACGTATTTTAAAATCACTAGTAACGTTCTCCTACCAGGAAATCCGCAGTCGTTATCACGCGTTCGTCTATAGAATAAAAAACTAATATACCACTCTAGGTGAACTGTCTCCATCCGTTAAGTTAATCAATGTATTAAAAATCTTAAATTCTGCCGTAAATAATAAAAATAATAAAACTGAAATAATAATAGTAATAATAATAAAACTAATAATAATAATATTGGTGTAAGACAATATAATATCAGGCCCGGGTAACAATGGGTCACAGATGTTTGTAGATACTTGAAGCTGAATTAAGATAAAAGTGATAAGTGAATATTAAATCTTTGAGGCCTGATAACGCAGGTGTTGACTCTCTGTCCAGCGGTACAAGAGTGGCAATGGTGAGGGAATTTTAGGCTAAATGTGACAGTGACGTGACAGAGACTGCCCAGCGATACAGATGTGACAGTAATGAATTATGAGAGACGCGGATGACAGACAGGAGACGACAGATAAGACAATAAAATCCAATTACCTTATCAGCCGAGACATTATTCAACCACTTTTTTAGCCCATCACCCAATATCTGACTTATGAGGGCCGGGAGGAGATTGAGCTGGCTGGCTGGCGTGATGGTGGAGAGTCAGAGTCACTCCTCATATGCTATCGATAAGTCACATGATAACTGATATCGTTATCCTAAACATTCAAGACATCACATGAATGACAAGTCGAACAGAAGATTACGTGTAATTGATTTCCTCATTGTACCCGGAACTGTCAGTTTAACAATACAGTATATGTATAACCATATGAATGAAAAACCTAACTGTAGTCTTATACATATGCAAAATTCATGTAAACGGAACTGTCTACTCAATCATGCATAATTACCTCCCGAAACAGAACTCGAGCTGCAGTTTAATCCACGAAAACAAAAACTCTCAGAATTCACCGCTTTGGCCCCTATGAACCGTGCCTGCAATCACGCCTCTGTCATCTAGTGGCCTATAAATCCAGCTGAAGGTTGTAATAAAAAGATTACCAGACATGCACAATCGTCAACAAACCCAAGATCCAGGTTCAAGGTCTTTGGAAGTCGATATATGCGTTCCAGAATTTCCAGTATACTTGCTACGACAAATCCGCATTCATATTTAGGCGTTTTTCTAACTCCTTAATGACTCTGCTTCACTACTAATGATCACGTAATGAATTGTATTATGTCATTAGTTATTTAAATTTCGGTATTATCAAAAAATAAAAATAACTATAAATATGGACTTTTGTGTAATTAGAAGGACATTGAAAGCTTGCAGCAATCAAGAGGCGCGGAAAAGGGACGTGATTGCTGCCCGTATCATCATTGGGTATGAGTTTGCTTGGGAGATTGGTATCCCCGCATCCCCTGAGCAACGCTCTTGTGCATTATGCTGAAGACCCGACAGCCGCACCCTTATCTACTACCTCCTAAGATGTCCCCACACACAACGCTTCCGTGACGCCTGCTGGACCACCACTCCACGACCCCCTGACGGAGACACGATGATCCTCCCCATACTGGCCAGATACTATGTAAATAACATGGATTATGTGTTAAAGGAATATCCTTCCTTCCTTAGGCTTTAGTAAGCCCCTTTATAATATTTATGCTGTATATACTTGTCACACTTGCCAGATGCTTCTGGTGTTATTGTACAGGGGTACCTAGTGACAGCACTAGGATCCCGCTTCCTCTATCAAGGAATAAACAATTGAAATTGAAAAATTGAATTGAGGACGATAATGTTAATATAACAAAACAAGGTGGGAGTTTTATGAGCAGAGAATGCAAATAATAACGTCACGGCCTTGGACACAACAAGACCTTCACGCCACATACACACCCATACACGTATACAAGCAAACCTATCTATTCACCAGGTGACCAATTTGCAATCCTGCTGAATTAATATGACTTGCGAGTATAATAAAAATTCACCTTGCAGACCATACAGACAAATACAATGATGTTATGTATATCAATATATAATATGTATATGTACTTGCATACAAACATACACGTATGAAAACTAATCAGATGGCTGGTATCATATAATCATGAATACTGGTGTTATTTTTCGAGTTTACAAGTATATTTACCGTGAAGTTGTTCAGGATTAGCGTTCGTCTGGTCTACCCTATAGTGAAGCGTCCATTGCACATATTCCTATACTTACCCCTGCAATTCAACTTCGCTACTCTCCTCTACTATAATAAACATTATATACCATGGAGAGATATACCATTATATACCAAGAAGAAATGTTACATTATGATATCACTGAGCGGCTGGAGCAAGTAATAATTATTTCAAGAAGGATGACACTTTTTGTACCGTTTGCTTGCCATGGTGTTTACGTTCGTGGTGTGGACAATGTCAGGAAACAGTTTTAGACACGGCGAGGTGGTGTTACGAGTGACTTTGGCGGTTAATTATCAAAATATAAAACATGCAAAATTAGGAGTAATTCTGAATAATAATTATAATTATTCTGGTAAGTGCAGGATACACATTAAATTAGAGTATAATTATTTCAACGTGGGTAAAACACGACCAAATAGAGAGCGAGAAGGGAGGGCATGTAGAAAATTATATATATTTTTTACCACAGTAAAAGGAACCACACTTGTTTATACAGTTGTCATTATGGAAAACACACACACACATACACACACTGCCCTGTAAACACTTGTTAGTTTCATTCAAGGCAACACACAGTACAGTACCTTGCCGTCCTTGGTGAAGGTGCGAGTGGTCGTCTCCGTCCTCGTCTTTCCCATACTGAAGGAGACGCAGAAATAGGTGAATTAGTTCTCACGACTCTTTAATATTAAACTCTAGTAATTGTTAACTGAATCTAATGAAATAAACAATCCATTTCACAGATATAACACCCCATGCTGATGTTAGTGTCATAGGAGACAGCCTAGTGTGATCTAAACGTAACCTAGCACTCATAGTGACTAGCAGATACTGAGTGTAGTCTACCCTGTAGTTTGTGGTCATGATATGTAATAAACCTAAGAGATTATAAATTAATAAGACGCTTCCCTTATGCTTGATCATGACGACTCCCAGTGCCTGAAAGCACACATATTCATCACTTGACAACTGAAACACTCTGGCGCAGATTATTTACACCAAACGAACCACAAACTAGTTCTCTAAGAGGTCGAATGATGTCACAGGCTGTAAATAGTTAATGTGTAATTACTATAAATCATTTAGTCAGTCAGGAAATATATAGATGCAATAAATTCACAATGTAAGAAAACAGAAGGGAAAATAAATACACATTACTGGTTCATCATTGCTGATTTGTACACCTACACACAGGCGTTCTTAACATACATAATTAACAAGGAAAACTGGTGGTTCTTATTTCAAACACCTAAAACATTAAAACACCTAAACCGTTAAAACACCTAAAACTTTAACATGTTAGATCCATCACAAAATACCATGCACGACTCTCCTTACCATGAAGAACTGAAGTACCTTACCTGTATTTTTACCTGTACATTACGAAGCATAAATAAACCACCTTAGAGCATTAGCTGTTTGATGTTAGTCCAATATTAGAAAATGTATCTCCGATTAACTGGTGCTTGTATACGGTATATTACAATGCATTGCCCCCCACCTACGAGTCTACAGCAAGCATCATTTATATATTATTAAGCACAGTCATTCTGCAAGCAAGTTTCATTAAAACTCGTGTTAATGTTGTAATATATGATATACAGAGGCAATATAAGTATAAACAAGGCGTTAAAGCGTTCAATCCAAAGTTAAATACAGTAGTTTGTGATCAACCTTAGGAACACTGAGGAGGTGATAGAACACAAGAGTAACACCACAACAACACACAGACACTATCCACGCAACACTGTTCTGGGTACTGGTTCTCTTGTTTCCCAGGGAGGACTAGTACAACACCACCGTCGTACACAGCCTCTCTTATCAATATTAGGGAGAAAAATATCCCTAAACAGGAAGAATTTATGGAGACAGTGACGCAGTCTGTTGTGTGTACTTCCTGGGTGACTGGCGGGGGACTGCTGGTATAAGGTGGCTTCTCCCATCCACGCACTCAAACACCCTGGACTTGGATCCTCAAGACCTCATACGTCAAATCCTCCTCCTCCCTGTTACTCTTGAACCCATAGACATTTAGCAAGATGACTTAGACAGCCACAGGATCATGGTAGGTTAAAGAATTAAACTCTTACCATATCTAAAAGCTGTCGGCAATACCCACTAACTCATTAACAATATTTCTTTATAATTTAAAGGAGGAATATCGCTGGAGTAGATGAGTGGTAATAGTGTGTAACTGTGTTTGAATAGTGGCCATATTGTCGACTCTACAGCATGGCAGATGATTCCCAGTGAAGAGCGTGGCTAGATTCAGATGGATTGCTGGCTTTTACTTCCTTTACACAGCTCAACCACTCGTAATAGGACCAATTCGCCATGAAATTCCTACGAAGGACTCCAGATGTTTAGACTCTATAACAGGTTAGGTTAGGTTCGGTTAGGTTTTTTACGATATCAAGATGGCGGCTAGAATTTCTTCGGGACAACAATGATAGTCTACAGTAATGAAGAATTTTGTCTGCTGCAGCGTTAGGAGAGTGAGTGTGTGTGTGTGTGTGTGTGTGTGTGGACGTCGCAAGCACCGGTGTTGTTTAGTAGGATACAGGTATAGTACTAGTGTATACAAACAGTAGTAAGTAGTGCGAGAGACAATAGTAATGTTAATGAGTAAGCACAAGTGTCGCGTCAGTAACCAAATGACCATAACTTATGATGAAGACAAAATATCGGTCATCATAATCGTCTGAACGTCTGAGAACTTCTTGGTCAACATCCACTGACCAAATATCATAGGAATTTACTGATATTGATACTTATTCCAGTTATCGTGTTCGTAGGATAACCGGACGGATGATAAGACTGAAAATATCAAGTTTCTCGTAAGTTATCATATCTGGGAGAAGTAATTATACAAACTGGTTATCATTAGTCCATTAAACTCGAGGCATTGACCTAATTTATCGTAGGTGACTCATCCTAATGCACTATAAGGGGAAGATTATTATGTAATGTCTGCTCTGGCCGTGATAACTAGGATAGATAGATAGATAGATAGATAGATAGATAGATAGATAGATAGATAGATGGATAGATAGATAGATGGATAGATGGATAAAGGTAGTTATACAGTATATAAAAATGAATAATGAAAGTGAAGAGGTAATCCCGACGTTGTTTTCATTCTTTCATTAATCTCACGCGAACCAATTTTCTGTTTCCTTTAAGATAATCGGTATATTAACTAAAGGCGTGAGTTGTTTATGAGAGTAATTTAAGATTTTTAGATTAACGTGATTGGTCAACGCTTATGGCGATATTTTCTGTGGGGAGGGAAGGGAGGGGAGGGGGAGGCAGAGGCAGGGGAGGAAGAGGCAGGGGAGGGAAGGGGAGGCAGGGGAGGAAAGGGGAGGCAGGGGAGGGAAGGGGGAGGCAGGGGAGGGAAGGGGGAAGGCACAGTGGTGTGTCACCTTATGTGTTATCAAAGATCGATACATAAATATATATACCCGTACAGTCCCACACGCTAGGCTATAAGGGTCGTTGCCACCAGACTCATCGACCCTAAGTTATACCATTATCAGTGTACGGCCGTGAACATGCAGCACTGCGGTAGCCTCTTGGTCGCCACACAGTCTCCAGCACCCACGACCAGGATTCTAGGAGCCTCGTATGCTATATTATTCCCCTAACTTACGGTGTGGGAACGCGTATACAAGCCTAACCGAACCGAACCTAAACGGAAAAGGAAGATAAAAAACTATTCATCTAAAAATTATATCACTAGTAAATACTGTAGAGACAGACAGACAGACAGACAGACCCCAGCACCACGAGCGAGTAGCGGGAGTGGATGAATGTTATCTCACGCGATGACTGGGTAGAGGCGGGGCTGTTGCATGAGGGGAGGAGGGGCAGGTGGAGGGTGCTTGGTGTGAGGGCGCAGGGGAGGACAGGTGGCAGGTATGGTGAGAGAGAGAGAGAGAGAGAGAGAGAGACTTGTGAATAATATACATATAAAAATGTGTGTGTGTGTGTGTGTGTGTGTGTGTGTGTGTGTGTGTGTGTGTGTGTGTGTGTGTGTGTGTGTGTGTGTGGTGTGTGTGTGTGTGATGACTAAACCCAAAAGGCGTGCGTGTGAGGGGACCACGTGGACTCTAGGGGCCAGCCAGTCACATGTTCCACCACTTTCCTCTACAATATTGAGTTTACCTGAAGTTTTGCCCGTCATTAGGTTAGGTTTACCTGAAGTTTTGCCCGTCGTTAGTTGCCGAGCCTTGCCTCCAACCCACCCACATCCCCACCTTGGACCAGGTTGTCTTCATCGTAGTCTGATATAATTGAACGTTTCAGTTTGCAAGACGTTGGTCAGTGTTTAATGACGCCCTGTATGGTTGATCAGTGGAGGCTCATATGGCCCATGGTCCGAACTCCTGACTCCTCCTCCTCCTCCTCCTCACTGTAATAGTCGATCATTTCTTCCCTGATGATCCTATTCATTATGGTGGAGAAGCAAACTGTTGCTTTTTAGTTGCCTTGAATGTCAGGGTTATGATGCAACGTTTACTATTTGCTGGAGGAACATGAGAGCGGGTCACTAGGACAACCGACACCAACATGTGGCGTGCACCGTCTAGCAGCCCTCGTGCAGGCGTGTTTCCAGGTGCGACCAGCTGCCCTACACCTGACATACCAGCAATAATGACACTAGTGTACCCAGCGCACCGGGGTAATAACACTTCAGTATGAGGGCGAGGCTGACGACCCTAGGGCAGTGTTGTGGCGACAGCAGCCAGCCACCTACCGCCCTCCTCCCTCACATACTCAACACTACCCTAACCCACCCACACCACGCGCTACTCACTGAACACAAACATTTACCGATATATCGAATATTACATTTTATCGCTGTAATTTTACTTTAAATACAATTAAGTGTCAAAAATTACTTTTTTTGTGTTACCCAGTTATGAATTATGGGAGAAAACTTGTGCCAGATCTGTCGTTTGTGAAACAATATTAGGCTAAAGTCTTTGTTATACCTGGTGGAGCATGCAAGTGAGGATGTGTGTAGGTGGTGCCACGGGGGGGAGGTGTCAAGTGGTACCACGAGACGTTAAGTGGTACCCTGGGAAACATGTTAAGGGTACGGGGGTAGGTGTTAAGTGGTGCCATGGGGGGGACATATTAAGAGGTGCCACGAGAGACGTTAAGTGGTGCCACGGGGGGCATATTAAGTGGTGCCACGAGAGATGTTAAGTGGTGCCACAAGGGGACGTGTGAAGTAGTGCCGCGAGGGGAACATACACGAGGTGCCACGGGAAGGAATACAGTGCCATGAACATCGTCCGTCGCCTCACCTCTTGGCGCCAGCTCCAGACGTCTTTTTTTTCGCTTTATGTTTCACGGTTGCCTTATTCTTCGCCCAGTTGAGTTGAAATTTACCGCTGCCAGTCTGAGGTGAGCAGTGTCTCGACCATTGTATTCTCGTCGTGCCAGTTCCCCGTTCAGTGTTATTCCACGGTATAATGTCAGCGAAGGGGGGGCGGTCATGTTGGGGCTGATGGTCGTGTGTATGGTGCGTGTGCTGCCCTTTCTTCTGGCAGGGATAGTGGTAGTGTATGTGGTAGTGGGATTCTTGAGTGTGTGGTTGATGTTTGTGGGAGGTAAGAGGCGCCTTAGCAGTTCTGGCCACCAGGCTTTTGCTGTGGGGACCTGAGCCCCGCGGGGCGACCAGCGTTGGCGTCATTTTTATAATATTTAAGAGGAATTACGTTTGTAAACGGTACAATGTGTTTCTGTCGATAAATAACGTTAAAATGTATTTATAAAGCTTCCACATATTGTCTGTCTTCTCTCAGGTTACAACTGCAGTATAACCGAGGAAAACCATGACAAATTTCACACGGTATCTCCTGGAGCACCCTCAGGAGATGCTCTGAGGCGTCAGGACATGTGGAGGGAGCGGAGCAGGGCGGGCGTCTTGTCCCGGCGTGAAGTTGGCAGATACTACCTTCGCCTGGCCCGTGAGGTGAGGCAGCCTGGCCCTGGCACCACACGCGGTAATCAATAGATGCAATAAGTCTCCCTGTTGCTCGTCACTCACCTATTCAAGGTACAGTGCCCCGGGAGTACTGCCCGGGCGGTAATGACCTTACATATGCATTCAGTGAAGGCGTCCAGCTATAAACGCCATTCAGTGATCAGTGGAACAGTTTTACACGTTTTTAAGTCACTGGGGTCACTTAACTGAACAATAGCTATCCATCACTGCAAGAAAACTTATAATCCATCAAACTGACCACGTGGGAGTATGGCTGGGCATACACCACAAGATATATACCACCAACAAGACTCACTGTTGACAGCTAACACCTTGATGGGTGAGGATGCGGGGAGTGTAATCTACCTAAGAGTAAGTACAGGGATAAACAAGTACCGTTTGTGGGGCCTGGTGACCCCCAGGTGGCCTTGGTCAAGGTGTGGCATGGTGACCTACGCTGGTGGTGATGCGAACTGTCCCACGTCGGCACTGCCAACACTGCAACTCCAGCCTCGGGGGGAAACTGGCGGAAAATCTTTCGCGCACTGCACCACCACCACCACTACTCTCTTCCTCTTCTCATAACGCATGATAACTGCTCTCTAAGACATGATGTATGATATAGCGCTTTTATATTTATTTTTATTGTGAATAAATGAATATTAATAGTAATAGTAATAACAGTTATACATGTCGTGCAATATTATTCGGTTACGAGTGATTTTAGTAATCAATCGCCGGCACCATTTCCTCGAACTCTACGTCCAGTTGTATTGATTAGAGAGTTATCCTTGTTAATCGCTGATGTCTCGAACACCAAGTAGAAGTTATCATGTGGCAGTAATAAGGTTTTCGAGATGAAGTTTACACAGAGTCTGAGGATACGGAGGCGTGGGGGCTGACTGACTGACCGCGCAGGACTGGCACACCTCAGCGGGATCTCAAAATTCAAATATATACTTAACTAGAAATATTATATTCACAGTACTAAGGTTGTATTATATAATTTATTATACTGAAAGACTGTAGTTTTAAATACTGATGATGTCATTATGAAATTCGGTGTGTGAGGATCAGTAAAAAATAAGTTTCTCTATACGCTGTCATGAGCATGGCGGTGTGTGTGTGTACAGACATCCCCGGTCTACTTCACGTCAAGGTCTTAGTCTTCACATGAACCTTGGCATCAAAGTGTCAACAAATTACCTTAGGCTCAAAAAATCACACTGAGTCGCTTTCTGAAGATAAGGTGTAAGTGTATGTATGTCGTTTCAACTCAGGAAACACACCTCGGAGGAAGCACACCACCCATGCAGCGTGAGGGAAGGAAGCACAACACGGGAGAGAATGGTCGGCTCATGCAACACCCACCATCACGCACCACCATTTGATAACGTGTTCATACTAAATCATAAAAACAGTTACTGTAAATGTGTAGGAAAGGGGTTTAAGAATGCAATGAGGACGGCAGGAACTCCGGGAGGTGATCTGAAGGAGGTTAAGGTCTGGGCAGAGTAATGACGGCGTGTGTAAACTGTGCAAATAATAAGACACTATAGATAAAGCGCTGCCCAGAGGTGGAGTGTAACAGACCAGGAGAATCAATGGCACACAGTCTTAGGGGTAAAATTTTAGGGAAGTTTAGACTGTGGTGATAATAGCCCCATGTGAAGACTAGACCCACTGGAGATATAACTGAAAAAATATAACACCGCATCGATCTGAACCAGAATCTTATAGAGAGATCTTCCACGATCAATACCCATATGAGTTGATTTATTTTATTGCATAATTTAGTCATATTATGGGTGTATGTTTGCATGAGAGGATATCAGATGGACGGTGAGATAATACGATTTAATGAAGAGATAAAGAGAAGAGTGAACATACAGATGGTCGGTGTCCTGTGAGTTACCTGGTGGAGTCTTCAGTTGTCAGAGAAGCAGTTGAACTCGTGCTCGGGGCCTTGGCTGCCTTACCTCACTAACACTTAATTTATATCATCTGTAAACAATTTTTATTAATACGAATAACATGCACTTATAACATATATAATAAAGCAGAGGTTACGAGAGGTTAGTGCGTCCAGCATATCATTATCCCGAGTATGTGTGTTAGTAGAACTTGTCGTTGTTAGTTGGTTATGCTGGTCATGCAAGTTACCTCTGGTTTGACGGTGATGGAGTGATGTTGAAGAAGGCGTTCCTGGCCTTGACGTTGTTGAGGTTGTTGGTGGTGGTGAAAACATTGGAGGTGGCCGTGTGTCGCATCGCACCACTGACGTAACCCTGTTTGTTGGTGACGAAGCGGGTGTTGCCCTGACCACCAGGGACATTGTAGCTCACTGACTCCGTGGTCGTACCTCCACTACTGAAATGGAATGTGTTGGTGACGGTGGCGCCCGAGCTATTAGTGACGCCCGGGCCTTTGGTAATGGTGACAGTCTTAGTGGCGCGGTTCCCCGGGCTGGAGGTTATGGGTTTGGTAACGACGGTGGTGCCCTTGTTGGCGCTGCCACCTGCTCCTTTAGTGATGGTGACGGTCCTGGTGGAGCGGACCCCCGGGGTAGTAACAATAGTGGGTTTCTTGGTGGGGGAGGTGCCCCTGGGGGTGACACCCCACCGCCCAGGGGACTTCACTACTAACGTTCCTCCCGTCATGTTATCTTCCGGGTCGATCTCTAACAGGATCTCCTGTGTCTCCCCTTCGATCTTGTCTTCTTCTTGAGGTTTGGAGCAGCATTTACCCATTAAGGTGAGCGACGATGCTCAGATAATACACAACCTTGCCGGGGACACAAACACTATTATAACATACTATATACCCTTGTCCTCCCTATTATAACACAACATATACCCTTGTCCTCCCTATTATAACACAACATATACCCTTGTCCTCCCTATTATAACACAACATATACCCTTGTCCTCCCTATTATAACACAACATATACCCTTGTCCTCCCTATTATAACACAACATATACCCTTGTCCTCCCTATTATAACACAACATATACCCTTGTCCTCCCTATTATAACACAACATATACCCTTGTCCTCCCTATTACAACACATAACAAATACCCTTGTCCTCCTTATATCACTGCATTTCCCTACATGCCAGGCATTCCTGTGTTACCCTCTGTCCACCCCCATAACCTGGCTCCATGTCTCCCACACACGCACACAACCTCTTATTGTCTATCGACTTTTGGTGAGTTAGACCTCAACTACAAATGATTTAAACTCATTGAGTAAAGCCGCGAATACTCTTGGGTATAAACTGTCTGATAACCAACATTAATTCATTTGGTAAACCTTACGTTACGTCTCGTGGCTAACAGTAGACGCTGAGATAAAAACACGTACGATATTTTAAGAGTTATTTTACACCAATACAACACTTGAAAGAACGGAGAGATCTTATTGTGCTGAGAATCCCAACGAGCATTATTATTGAGACACTTATCCAATTATCAGTCAGTAGGTTTAGTGATCTTTACCTTGAAAACACGGGCGACTGCTAACACGGGGGACAGCTAACACGGGGGACAGGTAACACGGGGGACAGGTAACACGGGGGACTTAAGTGTGGCTATAGTGGGGGAGGTCTCAGTCTCCACACCAATTAGGGCATTAATTCCTATTACTTATCGCACTTGACAAGGGTGCAGTTGAACAACAAAAATCTTAACATCAGAAGTAATAAAACACACACACACACACACACACACACACACACACACACACACACACACACACACACACACACATACTGATTGACACGTAATACAGCAGCGACTTCAAAAGACTTAGTATTTATTTTACAGCGGATAACAGTTGATCGTCAGCTGTCACTTGTTCCAATGTTGCCATTGGTTAATCTCCATGGGGAGTCCGGAGTGAAAAGAACAGCACTGAGCTTTGATCTTATACCGTTCATGACGATAAGTTTACTGTACATAGCCAACACGATGATAAAGTGCACATCTAACACTATCAATAAACTAACAAAAATATCTCTAAAATAAATAAATGAGTAAATAAAATATTAAATGAATAAATAAATAAAACCTATGACCTTTCTAAACCTATTGCCTTCCCTGTTATGGACATGCCTGGGGGTGGTGGGTGGTGGGAAGATGGGTGAGGGAGAGGGAGAAGGCAGGGAGGAAGGAGGGGTGAGAGAGAAGGCAGGGAGGAAGGAGGGGTGAGCTGTGTACAAGGCTCGCTAATTAACACTGCTACTCCCTCCTTCGTTATCCACGCTGTTTACAAATTTTCCTCGTCTTTTTTTTTTCAATTTCTTGTATTTATTTAATTTTCTCTCTATATTTCGTTATGATTGTTGTAAATTTTAAGGTTATTATTATTAGTAGTATTAGTATTATTAGAGTAACACGAAGTTCACAATACATCACTTTATAACTTACGATAATCTCACCATAATGTGTAATATCTAGTTAACACAGATGGTTACGAGTAGATCGCCTAGAGGTGTACACACTGTGAGGGCCGACGGGTTTGAATGAACAACGTGTGCAGTAGCAGCTGTGTACATACTGAACTATAAGGGGAGGGGGTAGGGTGAAGGGGGGAAGGGGAAAGGGGAGAGGGGGAAGGGGAGAGGGGGAAGGGGAAAGGGGGAAGGGGAAGGAGGGGAAGGAAGCAGCTGGGGCCGACCTGGAAAAGACACCGGATGGTCTTGTGTCGTCCCCGATAACAAACAAGATAAAGGTCGCCGCGGTGTACATGACTACATGAAAGTTTACATGAGGTATACATGACTAGTTTACATTATGTATACATGAAAGTTTACATTAGGTATGCATACAAGAATAGTTTACATGAAGAATAGTTTAGTCATTTTACTGAATTGTATACACACGTTTGAAGGTGAAAATAGCATCTAACCTCTAACCAAACCAAACCAAACCTAACCTAATCCAACAAAGTATTAATTTAAAAGACACTTGATGAGGTCTGTATTTTGTTCATCCACACACACACACACACACACACACACACACACACACACACACACACACACACGTCTTTGTCCACCCACACGCCCTTATCCCTCACCCATACCTCTCGACCTACACCCACACGCCTCTACCCCTATCCCTCAACACACACACACACACACACACACACACACACACACACCACCACGGCCACCAAGGCACTGGGTCTGCCTCAACCTCGACCTGGTTTTAACTATGCTTGACACTTGGTCCTCGTAAACACTGACACACACTCAAACCTCCATTACAAAATAGTAAGTTTCGTTTTAAGGAAGTTAACTGGACAACGGGCAGTGATGGATTACAGCTTGTGTTGAGAAAATCAGTTAATAATAAATAAAAAATAATAATAATAATAACAATAATAATAATAATAATAATAATAATAATAATAATAATAATAATAACAATAATAATAATAATAATAATATTAATAATAATAATAAAATAGTATCATTATTATTCCCTTAGTTTTAGTTCAAGTGTTTCCTCGTTGTATCGCTATTACTGAATTTATATATTTTTTTTTTTGCAGTAACAAATCTTTTCGCCTATAAATGAGAAAACTGAACAATTTGTGAACGAGGTACAACACGCAACATTCGTATTAACAGTGTGTGTGTGTGTGTACAAGCTTGTCCGTTCTTATAAGCCATTACGAAAGACAAGAGTAACAAGCACGTGACCAGGTTATCAATGCCAGCGTGTATGTGTGTGTGCGAATACTGTACGTGCTGAGTTTCGCCATGACGGTGTGTAGTGTAGTGTAGTGTAGTGTAGTGTAGTGTAGTGTAGTGTAGGAGGCCGGACAGTTAGAGGAGCGATACGTTCCCTCCACACCGCCTCCTTACCCATAAGGATCAAGCCCTCCGGAATTATTCCTACACCTGAGGGCCCCCAGGACCCCCCAGCTAGCAAGCCAAGGACTGGTGTGAGAACAAAAAGAAGTCCGCAGTCACCTTGGATGACGGAAGTGAAGGGTAACTAATGAAAACCATCCCGGAGAGAAAGTTCTTCGCCGGCGTCGCTCCTCTGATGGTCTTACCAGTCTCCAGCCTCTTATTACCCCCACATTATTTTATTTCACAATATCCTTTATCGTTCACTTAATCATTCCATCCATGTATGTATCTCTAATGGTGTTTATGACTATTTAACTAAACGGATTAGAAGAACGTGATTGGGTGGCTTTAAGTGAACGGGCTAGAAGAACGTGAATGGGCTGGGTTATGAAAAGAAAACAACTTCAAAGCACCACCAGCCATCGTTTGAGATGATGATGAGGAGGAGGAGTTGCACAAATTTCTCCTTGTAAAATTGCCTAATATCATGTTTGGATGTCCTTTACAATTTAGCTGACAGTTAATAATAGGTTGAAGCAAGCTGGGTGGTGAAGGCGGCACTTACTTGTCATACAACACAGAGAGACACACTATCGCGACATAAGCACCAACCTCCCCACCCTCTCTTGCAGATGACTATAAGACACGTCTGTGATTATCTGCCTTATTTGGGTACTTAGTCTGAGGAGGACAATTTTACCAGCGAGGAGGAAAGGTACTATAGTGTGTGTGTGTGTGTGCTGTTGACATCACACACACACACACTCCAAACCCAATCAGAGTTGAATAAGACGCTAGCAATAACCCCCCCCCCCTCCCAACGCCACAGCCTCCCCTTAGCTCCATGTTCGGCTGGAGTCTTGAGTCAAAAGAATGATCTACCGTTGGGAGGTTTTTGCTGGACGCCACTTACGGCCCCAACTACCGCGGCTGTCACACATCCCGCCACTGAATCACTTAAGTGTATCTCATCGTTGTATCAGCCGTCAGACAACCCGGGTTTGATTTACACCGATGATGGAGTATAAAACCCCAATGATAAGGACTCCCCCGATCACTCGTGTGGGTTGTTGTGGGTAGAGAGGACTTGAGAGTGATGAAGAGAATGGATCAAGAGAAAAAAATGGAGGGATTTATGGGTTATTGTGGCCACCATTTTAAGCCAACAGGTAGAATCCATTATCACTCCAGTCAAGTCTTTACCTGCTGACTAAGGCCATGACCAATGCTTTTCTTTACGACACAGTTCCTTAACAAGAAAGAATAGCTTGCTTAATCGTGTCCTGCGGGGTAACTAACAGACCAGTCTGGTGTGTGTTATTGGTCTTAAGTTTCACCGACTCAGGTCACGGGTTGTTGTTGTTGTTCCTGTACCGGACGTGGTGTGACCTAGTCTAAGAGAGATGATTTCACAACCATTATTGTAATCCAGCCAGCGTCTGCACCACACAGCACCACGTTCTGTACTGTCACGCTGTTACCACACTTCATAAAATCAGTAATCACGAAAGAACACTGCTGATTGAACTGTTATTTACCTAAGTCAAATGATAACTAAAAATTACACTAAGATTACCGTAACAAAATTAATTCTCTTACAAACAATTGAAGAGAAACATCGATACAAACGAGTCTTTGAAAACCCCGACGTGCAATACGAAGCGGCACTCTTTAACAAATACATAAAAAACCCCGACTAAGTGTTAAAACTGCCCAGTGTGTACCTGACCCTGAGGCGAGGAGGGTGTGTCGTCTGGGTCGTGTAGTGGCAAATAAACCTTGAAAAATAGATTAATACTAACAAATAATGATTAATTGTACCGGGACATAAAAGGTATTAAGGGTCAGACTACGCAACAACAGGAGCTTGAGATATAGGTAGAATAATTATACGTCCGTCTCTCCTCTCTCTCTGCTTAAGTACTGTACTAGTTTCTACCATTTTGATCTCATTCACGTTCGGCTCCGTATCAGAAACAGAACAGGAAGTAATGATGATAATATTAATCACTCGAGATACGCGTGATGGATGGAGTGTAATAAATGGAAGTTTCCCTCGAAAAAACAATAAACACAAGTCTCATTTATCTTGCATTAATGGTACCTTAAGAGACACTATCAAACCGATCACCCCTCTCCCTCTCATCAGTGCGATCCGGGTTTATTTACGTTTTGGTCAAAATGTAAGAAATGTCGTATCCTACCGAGCATTACAAGTGACGACGTGCCTAAAACTTTTCAAACACAACAATTGGCCATTAACTCATTAAAAAAATGTCTTTCAAGTGCTAATATCGAACTAGAAATAAATATTATGACTACTGTAGTAATTTCAACGTATAATTTGACCCGCATTAAATATTAAGCCGCATCTCTATGGTTGATAAGGAGCTTTACAACATTTAAAAATAAATTTAAAACTAAACTCTAAATAACTTGCAAAGATATTTAATCTGGCATTATCACGTTGTTTTAATGTTAATTCGACGGATAAATGACTTTAGTATTTTATTACTGAAGGATTATTTTTTCAGCACTGATTTTATACGCTGAAATGATCTCGATTGTCCAATGGGATTAACTCCGTGTACAATTTAGTTTGGGATACGTTTTCTTTTGTTAGTAAACGAAATTCCAATGCCGGGACGTAAACAGAAAGAGAGCCCTCCTCCCTCCCTCCCTCCCCACTAACAAGAAAAAGAACATGATAAAGTTTTCCAGAGGTTCACCTTCAATTATTACTCAGCATCAACAACCATCACTGGTCGTTTGTACCTCGGCGCTAACGTCTACAGTTGGTTTATTTCAGTAAATAACAGTCTAATAGAGATTATAAACTACCCTCTCCTTTACCATAACCTGAATTGTGTTGTTACTGGGCTACAACTGTCGTTAATAACACACATCAAAACAACAATAATACCGCCACGTAAACAATGTTCAGAGGATACCGCGTCATAATTTTCTCAGGGCCAATTAGACTTCAACTCACATGTTCATTTTCTTAAGACCAATTACGTGACGTGGTGTATATGGGTCTTAAATTAAGTCGAGAATAATTACTTAAATCACCGTCACAAAACTAGACCTGTGTGTGTCAAGTAACATAACCACATCATGAGGTAAACAGCCAGAATCGTTGCTATAAATCACACTTTTCATTCAATAAAACTGCCAATTGTCTGTCGTTTATGGGTGAACAGCTGCAGGTGAGCGGGTGACCCCAGGTAAGCCTGACGTTCACAGGCGACGTGACCTACCTTGACATACATGGTGACGTTCACAACACTTCACTATACCAAATGCAAAAACTTATTTTCATTCAATTATTTTCTTAATAATTTTGCCTCTTTCGATAATTGCTTTCATATGAAATTTTTCCACTATTTCGATTGATTTTCGTTTACAACTTTCGATTTCACACACACACACACACACAGATATATCCCCAATGACTGTTTTCTGCTACACTTCACGGTTATTTTCGGTGCTGGTATATCACATAGTGTGGCGTGAGTGAGGAAGGGTGTCAGTCAGTAAGGGATGGTTGGAAGCTGGGCGTCACATGCGGGTCTGGCGCGGGCGACCTCCTGCCGCTGCTCTCGACATATGGCGGGAAACTGACTAGTATTAACAGCCACAACCAGTCAGCCACACTCCTCTAAGCCCGGAAACACTCGCACAAGGTTTATAGTCGCGCCTCGGCTCAAACCCTGCCATGTTTTGCGGTTTATGGAGTTTCTCCCTCAAATATATTTTAACTGGCTGGGTTATTACCATTATGGCGACCTTGTCATGCTTAATGAATCCTGTTTTCTCCTTTTTTCACCATAATGTGTAATGGCCGTAGTGTTGGCAATAGGAACTCTCTCGCTAGACGTGTTGGACACTTGCAGATAAAAACATTCTTGCGAGTGGCTGATCTCAGGGTTGTGTTGTGGTAGAGCTTTCATGTAACAACTTGACTGATACGGATTAATGCAGTCGTGAAGAAAGTATATTTCAGGCATAAAAAACCCTAACTTTTATAATTTGTGTGACAAGCTACAACCACATCTGCATTCAGTATAATATATTCACGATCTCTGAGTTATAGTGCCTTCCTTACTCTTGTACATATGATGCAACAGATATCAGGAATTTAAAAAAATATATATCCCCATCATACAGGTAAATAATTAATTAACACCAGCAAGGAACCACAAGGTCAGCTCTCAAGACGGAAATGGAGGAACCGTGAGCGTTATGAGTCTGGCACTGTAATGTGTAGGAGGGCCAATGGTTCCTGCCATCACTTAACCTAACACACACATTTACGTTCTTGTCCTAATGTAAACAGTCTACTTCACGTCTTGTTACTCTATCAGAGGTGTTTATGGTGTCACATACGACCAGGTTAAGTCTCGTTTGTGTAATTTACTGACCTGATTTTTTTTACACGAGATATTTAAATAATAATTCTCAGACGTAACTTTATATTTCATTATTATTTGGTTGAAACTATATTATGGATCTTTATTAATGCTGAGAGTAAGAGGAAATTATTTTTAGGAGTTTATGTTGCTCAAACAATTCAATTACGCGAGTGGTTTTTTGTGTATAAATCTAGCGTTGGATTTGTGCGTGCAATTTCATAAGTATTTGCGAAAATGACTCAAAAGCAATACACAAACTACAAAGATGGGGGAAGGGCGACTGTAACTTCCTGTATGTGTGTGTGTGTGTGTCGGGGTTAGTTGTGGTTTATGATAATATAACCAACAGCGGTGACAGCGACCTTCCCACGCCCGCCAAGGTGACCACTTGACCACCCCAGGCCATCTTCATCGCCTAAATAGATCACTGCTGGCCATATCCCATCATGGTTCATGGGGGGGGTGAGCCTTCCCATTCTCGATGCCGACGCCCTCCCCACCTAACCCCACCCTCCCCCACCGCACCCCACCCCACCATCCTCCTCCCCCTCCTCCATAACTACCAGTATCTCTGTCACCCATCGAGGTGAAGCCACACTCTACATTGTGTACACCTTAAACATTGCCTACAGTGCATAACAATCAACTATCAGTGTCGTACGCATAAGAATTACTTAACAGCGACCCGTGTACTCAATGACCCACTTCGTTTAGCTAGCCTCAACGCCCAGTAATTTAGTGGTGATTGATCGTCGAATATTTTATCGATTTTTTTCACCTTATATATTACCCTGTCACTTCAATATATAGCCTTGGACGACTCTCTTTTAAATAACACACGCCTCCAGCACTTCCACCACGGGCCAGTCACATAGGTCGTTACTGATCAAACTGTATAGCTATATCGCCTACTGTATGTGTTATAGTGTATTATGTTTACCAGGCGGGTCGCCACACTTGTGCACTTGTCCGTGGAGGGAATGTGAGAGCCAAGGTGACGCCGCTATCACTCTAAATGAATAACTTGAAATTGTAAACCATTTTATATCAACACGTAAACAATGTAAACTAAACTAAACTAAACTAAAATAACACTTACTTGCCCACCCAGAACAAATTAAAAATTACTGTATAGAAGAAATATGATGATTTTGTTTAATTTCCCTCATAACATTATGTAAATTATACAAATCCATGAGTGAACTCAATCAAGGAAAGCCGCAAATGAAAACAGATGGACTCTCGGGTAAGTTGAGTACATATTCTCGGGTGTCTGAGTCCATGAAGGTCCATCAGTCTTCACAATAAAGCTGCAAGATGTTAATTATAAAACTTTACAATAGACATTCATGATATAAATCTCAAAGTTGAATTCCATTTTCGGTGCTTCCTATATTGTACAGCGGGAAGACATAAGTACTCGTTATTAGTGAAGGAACAACATCACTTTCTCATTATACCCGTAGTCAGGAGATAAAGGGAGGCGTTGGTGACACTAGTGTAGGCGGGGTCCTCAGTCAGTGGGGCCTTGACCGACCTCCTCTACCACCAGCCAGCCCGCCCACTGAGCCAGCGCTTGACTTCTACAGTATCAAGGTCACCATAAATTCTCAATACCACTTACACACATAATCATCATCATTCATGTTTCACACCTATCATCACCTTCCTCCAAATACCGCCCGTCACAAGATAACAATGATTCACTATACAATCGAGTCTGAAAGCACGAGTGTTGACAAGGTTAATGCATGCAGTCTGTAGTCAGAATCAGAACCTTGAGACAGTTAACAATCTTGTCCTTTGATTCAGTTTTCATCACAACAACCATAGTAAAGAAATGGAGTAATCCCTCGCCTGTGTGTGTGAGGAACAATCCGGTTTTGTGTTTGTTATGTTTACTCGACATGATAGATGATACCTGGCGGCGTCAACAAGGTTAGTCTTTGGTATTAGTTCAGTTTCTAAACCCAACCACATTTTTGTTATCCCTTAGGCCACAGTCGCTACACAGTAGCGGCCAAAACTTGAATTAACTACTGGTAAATATAATATAAATCATTACTTGCCGCCATCAGCTGCTAAATCAAACAAACAAGTGTGACAAATATACAATACACCAGAACACCGAGACAAATTCATGCAATCCCATGTTGATAAAGTGATTGAAAACCTTTATACTGTAAGATTGTTCAATAAATATCTACGTACTTTCTTTAGTGACTTATTAGTGAAATCTGTCCATCTGTTTCTCTCTACACAGGATGACACGTAAATAATAATAAAATACGCATTCATCTACCGAATCAAATCTGAATGAATTCCATTTTGTGCTCAATGGGGATTTTTTTTTTTAATATCAAACTTTCTTAGGACGCAAGATTTGATGCTCAGAGTAAACTTGTTGCCCTTGACCATGCACACCGTCTGGGGGGTGGGGAAGGGTGGTACTCGAGAGGTAGGTGGCTAAGATGGGGAGCCCGGGAGACAGTAATCAGGCTGGTAGGCAAAGCTCAGCCACTACTCTCCTCACATACCAATACTTCTCCTTGCTCTTTAATGATTCTTAGGCCCAAAACAATTCAGCCGTTAGTTTAGATCACCAACGAGAAATGGTCGACAATTAAACAAACCAATCTGCAAAACCGACCTAAACTACACAAAAAAAGAGGGATAGACAGACTAGGCGCGGCCCCGTGTCAATGTTCTTTACAGTTGGCTGGTCTCCCACTGCGATAATACCGCCAAAACAGCACCATAATCCCTCTTCAGTTGAGATATTAGTACGGTCTGTTTGGTTTATCCTTGTGAATGAATGATTTGTAAACAATACTCACACCCGTACCAAAATCTGTACCTAATTAATATATGTCATTCGCGGATGAATAAACTCAAATTTGAATTGTTAAGGATTGAAGATAACAAGTTTAGATTGAATAAGAAATGTCCGTCAAAGAATGAGCTTACCCCACATCCATCTTGTACGTGCTCGCCCACATCCCGACCCGCGGCGAGGCACACCCACCTTCTAACCTACCCCAAACCCACCCTGTTGCCTAGCCCACACACCCACCCTGCCATCACCCGGGATCCCACACTTTATTACCAAGCAAAGAAAAAGTGTCAATTTGATTACGTTAAGAGGCTGGATACACAAGCAGTATAGAGGTAAAAACGGTGTCTTATTTACCTAATGACAACCCAAACTAGAGATACAGTATTAGTGAAATATACAGCAAACAGGATGTAATTTACTCTGAAGTGAATATTGAACTAGTGATTTCAGGTAAGTCACGTTCACAGATTAACAACATTAACTGACTCAGTCTAGTATAGTACTGCAAAAAAAATCAATTTAAAGAACCTGTTGCCATATAATAAAACATTAAACCAAAACAAACATTGCTTATCTAACCTGACAAGCAACTCGTCTTGTTTACGAACACAAAATGTGCACCTACAAAAACTCACTATGTGACGACATTATTACGCTGAATACAATAAATAAAATTTGGTTAATATACAAGTGTGTTAAGCATATATGGCAGCCAGCCTCGCCGACCAATCCCGGAGCAGGATGAACCAAGCTCATTCATGTGGACGAAAAGAAAATGAAATGCAGCATCATGTGTCACTTTGTATAGTACACACATAAATATCTACAGTGGTACCTGCTGTAGTTGTCAATATTCAGTCCAGTTAGCAAAGGAATATCTTATAAATACTGATACAAACGTCGAGGAGTCAGACAGACAGTGAGTTCAGTACACGGTGGTGGAAAACCCCGAGGCTCGTATCTCACAACTTGCAGCTGGCCGGGGTGGCGACGTGTTACACAGCGCCATGATGTTATCCCACGTTAAGATAATATATCGACTCAACGCACAACTATACTTTGGCATCATCATTAATTTCCATCAATATAACAACACGTGCATAGACGGTAATCCTAGAAGCGTATAGCGATGAAATATTTCGGGTTACGAAGAACAGGATAATGTTTACTGGCGGCCTTGAATATCACCTGTCGAGAACACCACAGACACTGGCGACTAACCGACCAACGAGGCTTCAGGTAGGAAACGTAAACATTCCATTCATATCTCAACAAATTCCAGGTGTTAAAAGAAAAAAAAACAATTACTTGGAACCTTTACAAAGAATTTAGGTTTATAATTAACCAATAGATTACAGTTATTTTTGTATAA